GAAATCCGGAGAATAGGATCCCCAAAAACAAATGGAAGGCGGTTGAGTCCCAGCTGTCTCTCATATGCCTGCGTATGGTACGCGAGAAGCCCGGTTCATCGCCTTGCTGCATGGACGCAAGCTGGTACCAGGGCAGTGTAAAGGTGGTGGCCTGCGACAATCAGCGATCAGCTGATCTATACAAGCAGGCGACAGCGAACATAGTCGCACTAGATTGGTGTGACGTCCCCAGTAGACCCCGAGCTAGAATTTGGCTCCCAGCAGCTATTAAATCACCGGAAGATCGTGGTGCTAAATAAAAAGTCGGTCGCTCCCATAGAGGCTGTTTGGGGAGTGCTCAATTATGGCTTCAGCGCCATACACATAAAAATCTACAAAGGGGACTCCAGTTCCAAGGGAAGCCCTGCCGGCAACCCAGCTGAGCAGGTGCTTGCGGAGGAAGTGGAGGCCCCTGGTATGCCGGAGGACGGCTACTCAACCGACTCATTGCTGAGCAGAGAGATGCGAGCGCTGGGACCGGCAATCGATGAAGTGGACCTGAGCGATTCGGAGGCCGACGTTACTGTGGTGGAGGTTGCAGCTGGGGATGTCGCTAAGACTCCTGCAGATCAACCTACACCACAGTAAAGCAGCGTCCGCTGCCCTATTGCTTCGCCTTGGTCTTAGTTCAGGAACCTTGGATAGCAGGAGGCAAGGTTGCTGGACTAGGAACAAAAGACTACAAGCTTATGCTTGACCCCAAACAAGGTAAAATTCGAACCTGCATTTTAGCCAAACGGCATCTTAGTACATTTCTGCTTCGCAATTACAGCAACGGAGACAACACGGCAATAAGCCTGGAGCTGCAAAACGGCTCAATAAGGATGCTATCGGCCTACATGGCTTTTGAAAAGGTAGAACCCCCAGACGCGCTAGTCAGAGGACTGGTACAGGAATGTGAAGAGCTTAAGAAAGGTTTGGTGATAGGATGCGATGCAAATGCCCACCATACCCAGTGGGGCTGCCCTATCAACAACGACAGAGGTGAGTCTTTATTTGATTTCATTCTAAATTCGAACTTATTTCTTTGTAACAGGGGCAATACCCCTACTTTTATAACAAAAACGTGCCAAACGATCATAGATCTAACCCTGGCATCAGATTCACTCGTAAGCACAGTCACAAACTGGGCTGTCTCCGACGAGCACTCATTTTCAGATCACAGGTTTAGGGCCGGTTTCTCGAGGGCCGGCTATCATTTCTCGAACAGATAAAGTCCCTGCATTTGGTTTTCGACTCGATAGAATGACAGCTGATTTCCCAAAGCCAACTATGAATAAGAAACGAAATCACAGCTGACTTTTCCTTTGAATTATACCCAAACAGCTGATGAAATAATCGAAGCACGCCATTTTTTGCCCTTCACAGCACAATTCTGTGCGTTAACAGCACTCTGTAATTGTTTCTCGTTCAGATAAATTTTTATTTTATTTATTTATTTATTTATACTCTGGTTCTGAGGCCATTTAAATGGCCTCCAACCAATTTTTTAGCTATAGCTTCTAGGCCTTAAGCTAAATCAGATAAATTAAAGCAGTCGAGAAAGCGGATTTGCTTTTACGAACAGTTTATCTGGTATTTAAGTTTTTCGAACAGATAGCTATCAGGGACTTTGACAGGGACTCGAGAAACCGGCCCTTATAGAGACAACTTTGTCTCTAGTGTCACCTGCGCCGGTCAGCTTTGCCAACCCCAGGCGGGCAAACTGGAATAAATACAAAGAAATTCTATCGAGTTTCCTCCCCAGGGAGCAACCAGAAAACACTCTTTTTTTTGAAAAAAAATGCTTAAAATGTTTTTCTCAACTGCGGATCGTGTATTGGTTAAAAAATCACGAAAAACATCTCCCCTTTAAGGGCGCTATGAATATTTGAAGTAAGAACCTAAAAAATGTTTTCAAACTTCTAATTAGTATCTCGGGAACGGCTTAGGAGAACAACGTATTTTCTTAAATTTTTTTTGTCCAAAAGGGATGAATTTTGATTATTTCAAATTTTCTATCGCTGTTTTGAAGAAAAAATGCATTTAAATTGTTTAAAAGGCTGGCTTTGAAAATTTCAGGGACCGAAAATAATGAAAAATAGTAATTTTTATTTACGTTTTTTTAATAAGAAAATTATAATTTAAGTTTGGGCTCCTTTTTATGCCGAAGTTCCAAAGAATTCGGGCAAGTAGTTTTCATTTACCATATTTTCAAAGTGGAAGAGAAAAAGAACGTAAATTTAAGAAAAAAACTCAAAAACTGCATGCATTTTGGCCAAAAAAGTAACTTTCTGGCCCAGTGTGCGTCGCCAAATCCAAATCGCCAAAGCAGAATCCGCGAATGAATCTCACATGCGTGTGTGTGTCGCCATATTGGCTGCCGCAGAATCCGAGCGTCTGCTTGTCTCTCAGGAATGAGCACGGCGAAGGAGAATTCGAAAAAATATGAAAAAATAGTTATTTTTTAATGATTTTTATGATTTTTTTATGCAGTACTTCATTATTTGTATGTTATTAATATCCCTGCCCCTTATATCGAATTCCATGGCTTGAAAGCATGCACTCGGACATTATTTTCGATTTCCTTGTTGGATGGAGATTCTAAAATTCTCTCTCTAATGGATTTGTGTTGGTTCGAGCTTCTGATAGTTTTTTTCGCTTGCATTTGTGTTGGTTAGAATTTTTCAAAAAAACGTGGCGGTTGCAAGTTTCTTTGCAAAAATGCCTTTCCTCTGTCATTTCAACTTAAAATTTCAGAATGAGCACACATAATTATAATTATTACGCGGCCGCGACCGTGAACCATTCCCATTTTTATTACTCGGTAAGTGTTTTTGTATTAATATTTTTTCTATCCTTCCTATGGAAGCTTTATAGCAAAGTATTGCATACCAAGACCTCAAGAAAATCAATTGGTTTGGGAGAGAGAGCGGTGAAAGTGTAAAAGTGAAAATTTAGAAATTTGGATCTGTTGGGGCCGGTGGGGATAATTTGCCCTGCGGTTGTATTGCTACTGAAAATGCGCTTAATCAGGGGTGTCACAGAAATCTCTTCCAACCGAAGACGGTTGGATTGTGCATTGATGCACGTAAGAACTTTAACGGATTTCGGTTGGAAATAATTTCTGTGACACCCCCGAATATGAGGGGTCATATCGCTCGCTGCAAAAGAAAATGCCTGTGAAGGGAAAAAGGCTGGAATAGTTTGCTAGGGCGTGCCGAATGAGAAAATATTAGAAAGTCTATTTAATGACGAGTGTAATAATTTTTCGTCACAAATGTTGATATCAGAACTTTTGTATGTTCAAGGTGCGATCGTCACTAGTTTTTTACCTCGTTAAGAGGTGTTTTAATTTGATAATTTATTTCCTATTATTTTCTCATTATTTTTCAATCGTTCCTATGGCAGCTATACACTGGTAATCTTGTGCTTATAAATTAAAAATGTGTTTTTTTTTCAAATGAGCGCCTAAAATATTAACTTTAATTTTGAAAATCGAGTTATTTATTGTCATTACAATCAAAAATATTAGTGTGAACTTAAAAGAACATTCTGCCTCGAAAGAAAATAATATATAGTTTAAACTACCTTTAAATATTTTTTTTTTTTTCAGAGGGAGAGGAGCGGAAGCCAGCCCAAGAGGCGCAGGAGCAGGGGCAGCGAGGGGCGCCGTCCCGTCCGACCATTTCAGGTCGCGGCAAGGAGCCGCAGTAGAATCAGCACCGGCAACAGCAACCGGAACAGCAGCCACAGCAGCACCGGCAACCGGAACAGCAGCACCGGCAACAGCAACCGGAGCAGTGGCAGCGAGTGGCGTGCGCCTTTTAAAAAGGTAATAGTAACAAGGAGGTGCGTCTTTGGGTGTCCAAGCCGTACCAGTGCAGTGCGTGCTGGACGCGCCTAGCCACAAGGAAAAATGCCGAAGGCCACCGTTGGTTGCTTAGAGGAGTACAGGAGCTTCCCGTGCACAAATTGTCCATTCGTCGGCAAGGAGTAAAATTAAAATTCTTATATTGTTGATAGTTTAGTTGAAGTTATTCCGAAGACGCACCAATTAATTTACCAATAAATATTTTAATTAAAAGATTTCAAATATAAGAAATTCTGAAGACCCATAATAAAACAAAGTGTAAAAATAAAATTTTTGCAAGTCTTTAATTCCTTTGGAGCGAAAGCAATTTATTTTTATAGTAAGGTCAAGGTAAGTTCTATTATAATAGAAATCATAACCTTTAATATAATTCAGTAACTAAATACTTATCCCAGTGTTCCCTATTAAAAGTGTTGAGATTCCAAGTTCAAATAAACAAGTTTCGTTTACTTAGCACAATCAACCACAGCTTACGAATTCAGAAATAAGAGAGAAGGATTAACCGCGTGGTTCACGCTTTAGTGTTACCAGAGATCGATAACAATATAATGCTGATTTTGGTATATACTATAAATTATAATAGGGTTATTCAGTAAAAAGTAAACCAATTTCAATTGCATCTTGTTATGCATTCACATATTGAGAGGAAAAGTTTGTCTTTATTAACATAAGTATCAGAAATAACGGATTGGTTTTGAAAACATTGGTTGGTTATTTAATAGTAGTGCTTCATGCTAGGGAAATATAGGTGAGATATTTTAAATGTATCAAATATGTATTACACGTTTTAATAACATTAATAAAGTCCTCAAATGGGGAAACGAAGAGTACAAAATTAGATTAAAACCAACAACTTTCAGAACGTTTCGGGGGTCCTTGAGTATGTACAAATATGTTTTCGTTATTTTTTTTTTCGTAGAAACATTGGACACATCGATTTGCTATTTAATGAACTAGAGAGCTTCCAATTGAGTAAAGTTCTGAGTTTCCATTGATTACGTTTGCATAATTATGTTGAAGACGTCAAAATAGTGTTGTGCTTGTTGTGTGAACATAAACGATTCCGCCGCTTGTGGTCAAGGTCCAGTGTCGTTTTACTCGAGTCGGGATCAAATGGGGTTTGGCTTGGGGATATCCTTTGAGCGGATGTCCTTAACGACGCTTGCCGAAACGCAGGAAGACGTGATCGACATCCGTACGTTTGTTGTAGTTCTTCAAGAGGTCATCGGAGTTGGCCACCAAAGCTGGGAATAATATGATGATATATTATGTAATGATATAAGTTTTTATGGAAATAATGATATAATTATTATATTTTCGATTTATTTATATTAATTAAAATTGTAGTAAAATTATAATACATTTTACTAACTAATACAGTTTACTAACCAGATGCCTCGTTGTTGATGTAGGACTTGAGGGCCGTCGACAGTTGATCGGAGTTCTCCAGGGCCTGGCACACCTTCCGGATGTGTGGGGGCATCTCCTCGACGATGCCGGACTGGCAAAGAGGAGGTCCCTGGGCGGCAGCAGCCCGGGTATTGGACACGGCCAAGAGGACGACGGCCAGGCAGCAGGCGACAAGGAACTGAGCGAAGGACATGCTGCAAGTATGGGTTTCCAAACAGGATTGACATCGTTAGCTGGTGTCGCGCTTATTTGATTATCGGCAGCAAAGGTTGCTCGGCAAGGACATCCTGGCTGCAGGGCGACTTATCCCCATCCCAACCCCCTGATTTTGATTAAGTGTAATGATCTTAATGCTACGTGCCTGATTGCCACTCGCTGCTGATGACGATGTCGTCGCCATGGCAAAGTATTATGCATAAATGGAGTTGTACTTGGCTTTCAGGCTCGCGGCGGAGTTTCCATTTTGAATTGCAGGCAAAGGAGGCGACTTAATGCTACCCTAATATATTTACGCGAAAGACAATTTATTTCTATTAGCCGAGATGGGCTAAGCTGAGGCGTCACCACCCCCCAATGATGATGATGATTACGATGATGATGGAAGCGGAGGCAGCACTCATACGCCCCGTGTTGCAGTTGGCATGCAAACACCTGTGCGAACGTGTTGCTTCCACATCTGCTAAGCTTAGGGAGGCAGCAACACCAGAAATCGGGAGAAAGGCGGTGCCTAAATGGGAGATGCCCATAGGACACGTTCCAAGGATCCAAGATGCCCCTGCTTGTTTAGGGCTCAACTAAGGTGGCACGTATGCAAATCAATTGCATGTGTTTGCTTTCTAAACGGACACCGCTTATTGCGCAATGGTGGAACGCCTTTAACTATTAAACAACACTCTAAAATATCTATCTGTTTAGTTTTAAAAATAAAATAGTGTCTACCATATAGGAAAAATATCTTTTGTTAAGTATTGACTTCCATAATGAATAAAATAAATGAACCTAATAAATCTTCTCTGATATTGAAGGTAATATTCTTTAAAAACATTTTTAAAGGAAACATTTTTTCGTTTAATAATTGAAAAATTCACTTAACAACTTGACCCAATATTAAAGGCTTTGCAATAATATAAATTTAGTTTAATTTAAGAAATTCTAACAGTTTTCCAGAATTTTGAAGGTTTTTTCAAACTCTAAGCCATTTCTCACACTTTTAAACAACTCATATATTCACTTTTAATCAAACCAGTAAACTTTCTCCTTAATTATCCAAAACTTTGAGCGTCTCAAGACACAAGTACCCACCTGATGAGGGCTTTGAGATTTGGGTGTTTTCACAGAGGAGAACTTGAGGTATAAACTTGATAGTTTTTGTCACTGGGGTTCAGCTGAAGCTCCGTTTGCTGGACTTGTTGAACGCAAGCACTCGAATGATGTCCTGTCCAGCCAGGACATCCGCTTTTATTTACTTCCGCCGAGGACGAAAGCAGAAGGCGCGGTGGCCTCTGATTGGCTGACGAAGGATACACAGACGCACAGAAGTTGGGGGCAGAAAAAATAGGGGACGGGGGACCACATGTTGCGCTCCTTGCAGGATACTTGGTGGGCGTGCTCAAACATCACTCATACGCCACCGACACCGACCAGAGCACGATGTGTGCACTTGGTAAACTTTCGATGGGGGGGCAGGGAGAAACCCCCCGAGTTGCCCAATATGTTTATCTATTATATAACTTTATCAGCTCTTAATTATGTTGTAAAAGTTGTCGCCTTTATGATCAGTGGCCGGGAGCCATCACCTATTTATAGGTAGTTATAATCATTTACGACCATCATCGAACGTTTACTCTGCGACCCACGGATCTGCTTTAAGCCCCCAACTTTAAAGCCGATGTCCTGGCCACTGCATTCTGGTCCACGGATGCGTAAGCAGTGTAATCTTCGGTTTATGAGACTGGGATTTGCAGGCGAAGCGTTGCAATTAATTTGAATTTGTGCGTGTTTCGCATGCAAAAACCCTCGATAAGAAATTCGACTGTGACGTCAGGTTTTCATCTTCAAGAGGGCAGATGCAGATATAAACACCGTTGAGTCTGTGAAAATGCGAATTAACTCAGAGGAGAATCTAATTCGTTTTCCTTTTATGTCGTTAGTGTGAGTAATGGAGACAGAGGAAAGAAAATGGTGAAAAACAGAGATATTTTCTGTATAAAACACTGAAATTAACGATTTTATATAAATTTAATTATTAATATATCTGATATACAAATTAATAATAATTTTAAGAATAAAACAAATAGGAGAGATGTTCAGATATAAGATTCAATTTATTTTAATTTCATTCATTATAAATATTCTAAAGAATAAAAATATATCCGTATTATTCTAAACAAATATTTATAGACCTCTTTAAAATCAGTTTTTTTTCATATTTGTTTCTCTTAAGATACCCATGCTAAAAGTAATTTTTTAGTTCATAATTGAATAAGATAACATAATATTTCTCATGGATAATAAGCTCCATACTGCCACATTCAGCACTTTCGACCCATCATCCCACTTTATGTCCCGTGTCCAAGAACCCACTAATTGGGTTAGTTTCATCTTTGATGTGGACAAATCAGGCCAAATAATGCAATGCCATTGTCGTATGCCATATGTGTGCAGGAAAAACGGGGGAGGGTGGGTTGTACAAAAACCTACACTTGGTTTTCCCCAACAATGTATCGCGAAATTTGCACAAAATTTGAATAAACTGATTGGGTTTCAGTTGTACACACTATAGATACGTGAATAGTGCGTCAGTGCAGGGAGAATTGGATGGGCGAATAGGTCACATCGTAGCCCATCGATTAACATTTAAATTATTTTCGCCATTTTGCGGCCTACGCAAAAATGAGCGGAGGAAAAACCCCAGCTTAAATTTTATTTTCATCTATTTTTTTTGGAAATCGTACAAGCTAAGGAAAGGAAAGTTGAGGAGGTTGTTCAGTCGAGTAACTTGGCCACAATCGGTTCCGGAGCGGACATGGCATAGCCCAGATGGTTCAGGGCCCTCCGGATCTCGATGAAAACGCTGGCATCATCGATGGTCGCCGGCAGGATGACCCGCTCGTTCCGGGCAAAGTCCGCCATTGCCTTCCTCATCGTCTTTCCGGATCGCGTTCGTGGCAGGTTATTCACGGAGGTGATCAGCCGAAAGGCGGCAATGGGCCCCACTACGTCCCTGATCAGCTTGATGATCTCCGTGGACAGCTTGGCATCCGTTTTCTTGCAGTTCTCCACCGGAATGTACAGGCACAACGGCACTTGGCCCTTGGTGGCCTCGGGTACCCCGAAAACTGCCACGTCCACCACTTCCGGATGCCGGAGAACGGCGTCCTCCAGACTGGAGGTGGACAGCCGATGGCCGGCCACATTGATCACATCATCGTCGCGGGCCGTCACAAAGATATATCCACGGTCGTCCTTGTAGCCCGCATCCATGGTGTCGTAATAACCCTAGGATTAGGGAATTTAAAATGGATATTAATTCGGGTATTATTCATAAAGGGATTGAGGAATTTTAAAGCATCATAAACGAAAAAAAAATTGACCGTATCTTACGATTTTAGGGAAAAAGAAGATGTAACGATTGCCTCGACTATCAGATACCTATTAATCTGTTTACAAAGCTCAAAATAAAAGTGGATTGGGACTTTTAACAAAGATATTATTATTTTTAGCGGGTTTTTAATCGTTATTTGGATCAAGGACTAGCTTATTTCTATATCACTTCCTAATAATTTGAGCATAGGCTACTTATATGATTTTTTTAAAATTTAAATACTATAGTATATTAAGGTAATAAACTTTATTAACTTTATTTTTTTTATTAAATAAAGATATGACTCACGGGAAACTTTTGGAAGTACAGCTTGCGGAAGAGCTCTTCGTTCTTGTACAGGGTGGCCATGTTCCCAGGTGGCAGCGGTAGCTTCAGCGCAATCCTGCCCAGCTCCGAGGTCTGCGCCTCGCTTCCATCAGGTTTAAGGATCTTGACTGCAAGAGAGATGTCCCAGGACTTAGATCCACGCTTTGCCAAGCCAGCTGGAGCATCACTCACCGTCGTAGCCCATGAGGGGCAGGCCCGTGGAGTAGGTGGGCGGACTGAGGTTCTGCTGGAAGCCCAGGCAGGTGGCGGTCACCGCGGAACCCGTCTCCGTCTGCCACCAGTGGTTGAGCACCGGCACCTTGAAGGTCTTCTCGATCCAGGACTTGGTCTCGTAGTCGCAGTGCTCGCCGGCAATGAAGATGGCGCGCAGAGACTTTGTGGAGTACTGGCGTCCGTAGCTGATGTCCGGATCGGCACGTCGGATGACCCGGAAGGAAGTGGGCACTGAGAAGATCGAGCGCACCTGGTACTGGTCGATAATTCTGATGGATGGATTAATATATGTAAAGTGGAAAATAGAAAAAGTAGATAATAGATAGAAGATAAAATACGTAAAATAATGGAATGGGTAATAGATAAAATTGATAATAGATAAAATGGATAAGAGATCAAATGAATAATAGATAAAATGGATAATAGATCAAATGAATATTAAATAAATTTGATAAAATATAAAATTGATATTAGATAAAATTGATAAAGGATAATAGACAAAAATTTTTTTTAACATTGTATACTAAATAGATACATTTCATAATAGATAAAATGGATAATAGTTCAAACGGATAGTAGATCGAATTGATAATATATAAATTTGATAATAAATAAAATGGAATATAGATAATAGAAACAATTTTTGATTATTTTGAATATTTCATATTAAACTCAAAACAATAATCTCTGGCTAATACAGAGGTACACCACTCACCTGAAGTACTGTCCCGGATCTGGAGTCCGATCCGGTTTGCCCTCGTACATGACGCTGGTGGCTCCCAGGCAGAGTGGCCCATAGCAGATGTACGAGTGACCCACCACCCAGCCCATGTCCGAGGCAGCCCACCAGGTGTCGCCGGGACTGATGCCGTACAGCGTTCGCAGCGTGTACATTAGGGCCACTAAATGCCCTCCAATGGTGCGGAGCACTCCCTTGGGCTTGTCCGTCGTTCCGGAGGTGTACAGGATATACAGCGGATCGTTGGCCTCGATGGGAACACAGGCGATGGGCTGCTCACCCGCCGACATCTTCAGGACATCCGACCACAGGACATCCGCCTGGGGATCCAGTTTGGTCGTATCCGGCATGACATTGTCCCGCCGGAAGATGATGTTCCGCTGCGGTGGCCGCCAGCGCGACATGTTGATGGCCGAGTGCAGGATGTCCAGGTAGGGCACCACCTTGCCCGGCTCCACGCCCACATTGGAGGCAATCACCAGCTTCGGTTCCACATGCTCGATCCGCGAGCAGAGTTCCCGGGCGGCGAAGCCACCGAAGACCACCGAGTGGATGGCTCCCAGGCGAACAATCGCCAGCATGGCAATGATGGTCTCCGGGATCAGGGGCATGTAAATCACTACTCGATCCCCCTTGACCACGCCCAGTTTGGCCAGGCCGCCGGCCAGCAGGACGATCTGATCGTAGAGCTCCTGGTAGGTCACCCGACGCACCGTTCCCGTCAGCGGACTGTCGTGGATGAGGGCCACCTTGGCTCCGCGGCCCGCCAGAATGTGCCGATCGATGGAGTTGTAGCAGGCATTCAGATAGCCACCCACATACCACTTGGAAAACGGAGGATTGCTGTTGTCCAGCACCTTTTGCCACGGGCGATCCCAGTCGAGCAGATGGGCCTGCTCCTCCCAAAAGGCCTCCGGATCCTGGACGCTCTGGCGATAGGCCTCCAAATACAGGGGATCATGCGCCTCCACGGGCATGCCGCATACGGATTCACCTGCGAATCCAGGTGAGCATTAGTTAAGTGAGTTCATTGCTTAAATTTCGGGCTGCCAAAACTAAATTACATCGGTAGCACGAAATATCACCTCACACCAAGACCAAATTCGCATTGAATTTTAAATTTTCTAAATGTCGCGGTCACTCAACTGATTCCTACATATAGGCAAGTATACCCCGTCCATGTACTACTTTGTATCTTTGTATATTTGTATATAGACCCACAACCAGACGCCGAGCATAATCCACACGTCATTGCCGCCGGCCGTTGGACCTTAAAGCCACCACCGTCTTGAATAAGCTAATCGAAATCATTAATATTTAGTGTTATTTAGTGTTTCGGCACTCAACTAAACTCTAATCACATCAAAGTCTCATTTAAAGTTCATTATTTAAATGGTTACACAGTGAAAATTAGTATAAAACATAATGTCCTTTATAAAACTGAAAAGTTTTGAAGAAATATCAACTAGGAATCACTTAGATATTCAGATATTTCAATTTTTTTAACCAATATATTTCGAATTCCATTAAAATCATGCGATTACTCATTGAAAAGTTCCACTTTTCTATATACTGCAACCATTTTTGACTTACAGCCTTCGTAATTCACTGCACTTGGACCGGGTTCCATTATAATTCCTTATATTTTAATATATTTTTAATCCTAGTCTATAATATAGACTCTATATATATGTTTTTTGTAAGTCCCCTATAAGTTTTTGGATCAAACGAGCCGAGCACAACCGTCGCACTGAAGTCGAAACTTTGCAATGGGTCTGGAGAATGTAGAACGCGAGTTGAAAACCAAAACCTTTAAGAAACAACCGATCAAAGGTTTGCTTTCGAAATTCTCCGAGATTCTCCGGGAGAGCCGGAACGTTTACAGAAGAGAGTGGAATTTTAAAAAATATTTCATTTGTACAAAATGATTGTAGTTACATGTTTTCTCAGCTTAGTCTAGATAAAATTAGTGGTAAATCTGAAGGATTACTTCTTTTTTTTATCCTTCTTGGTCTTCTTCGAGGGAGGGGGCGTGGCTACCGCCTGGCTATCCGCTCCATCGGTGGTCGTCTCCACACTGAAACCCTTGATGTACGGCTTGACCAGTCGGAAAACGAGCTTCTCGTGCTGCACGTTGCTGGAATCCAGGCTCAGTCGAACGGTAACAGGGTCGAAGGAGTGGAAGACCACGTTGCCACAGCGCTGTGTGTAATCCTCCTCGTTGAAGGTGAAGACAATCTCGCTCTTGGTGCGCTCCAGACCATCCTTGCCCTCCTTGTCCGACTTTAGATACAAAGTGCCTTCCAAGCCGTACTTGGGGATCAGCACTTGCAGCGCGTTCTTGCGCACAAATAGCACATAACTAGGGATAAATCATATTTTATAAGAAAGTGATTATGTAGAGGTTTTGCTAACCTACCCCTCCTCATCCTCCTCCTTGCCGCGGAAGAAGAGATGCGTGTTGAGGGCCACCGATGCGCGACCCGCGTACTGAGCCATTTTGTGGCGGTAGTTCAGGTTGTGGCACAGCTCCTCGTTGGATTTGCGCTCCAATAACTGAGCATAGGTGCTATCGGCGCCAATCGAGGCGGCCAGCAGGCGGTGAACCATAATATCCGAGTAACGACGGATGGGCGAGGTGAAATGCGTGTAGATGGGAGCAGCGAGGCCGTAGTGGAAGTACTCCTCCTTCTGCAGGCTGCCGCTGATGAAGTACACCGCCTGCATCATGCAGCGGGTGGTCAAAATGCGGATCATGGTGTTGAAGTACGGATTGTCGGCCTTAACGCACTTGTCCAGCGAATGGGCCAGCTCCAGGCCCGTCTCGGTGTCCACCTGGAAGCCCTGGTAGCGGGCGGCCTTGACGAGCGGATCGAAGTTGGTGGGCGGCGGTCGGGGATGGCGGCGCAAAACTGCGCACTCGGTGAATTCATTTGCAATATGCTCAGCCACCGTGATATTGGCCAACAACATGAACTCCTCCACCATGGAGTTGGTCTCGCGCATCTGCTTGACCTCCACCTCGAGCGGTTCGTGGGTCTCGCTGTCCACCTGGAAGCGAATCTCCGGCGAGGCGAGGACCAGGGCGCTGTAAAATAGAGATTAAATTAAATCAGGGTACGAAAATAACAGTTATTTGTCAATTTCCTGACTAAAAAAAACATCCTCTTAGAAAAGTGCTAAAAAAAAATAAAAACAAGAGAGAACGCTATAGTCGGGTTGGTGTCCCGACTATCTAATACCCGTCACTCAGCTAAAGGGAGTGCGAACGCTGTGTCGGGTTGGTGTCCCGACTAATAATCGTAACTCAGCTAAAGGGAGTGCGAGGGAGATAGATTTATGTTGACAATTTATAAAGCGTATAACTTTTTAATGAATGGTCCGATTTGAAAAATGTCTTCTACATTTCGATAGGTATAAATATACACAACAAAATTGCATTTATACTTCTCGGAAATCTTTTAAGATGTGGGCGCAGGACCCATTTTAAAATCGTTAGTGGGCGATTGTGGGCGTTAGAGGGGGCGTGGCGCTCGGCTAAAATAAACTTGCGCTGCGTAGGAAGCCAAAGAAGCCGCTTTTGCGCCCATTATATTGGGAATATAGTTTAAATTGGTTCTTGTTCGTTTGGCCAAGTAGTTTCAATACATATAATAAAAAAAAATATATTTTAACATTAAGCTATTTTAAAAATTGATTTAAAATATCATGTTGATTTTTAGATAATCTTAATTATTTAGAAAAATTATAGTTGTGTCTATTTTCACCATTCGACGTAAAGAATTCGCGTATTATTTGACCTAAAGAATTCGCGGATTATTCGACTTAAGCAATATCAGAATGATTTGAACGAATGAATGAAATCCTTCCGATACCCTGGAGTATATAAACTTACCCACTATCCATGCGTCGCTTTTTCAGTATCTTGGCCAGTCGGTTGAGATTTCTCAAGGACTTTGCCAGTTCATTCTGCTGCGTGGAGTCGTCGATGATAACCTGCGCCTCCTCGTAGGTCATGGCTCTCTTAGACTTGATGACGCTCTTGTGGAAGCGTTTGGCCAGAATATTCGCCTCCTGGTCCACCTCCCAGACACACGAGAAGGCGAATCGCTCGACGCCGCCAACCAGCGAGCACAGATTCGAGCTGAGCAACTCGGGAACCATGTCAATGCGTTTGCCCACCAGGTAAACAGTGGTTCCCCTGGCGCCCGCCTCCTTGTCCAGGGCATTTCCTGGCCGGATAAAGTGACTCACATCGGCGATGTGGACGCCCACCTCCAGATTGCCATTGGGCAGCTCCCTGCAGTGCAAAGCATCATCGATATCCGTGCAGCCAGGTGGATCCACCGAGCAGATGTAAAGGTCCCTCAAATCCACACGCTTGGCGTAATCCTCCTCGGTTATTTTCCACGGCATTTGCGGCAGGAAGCTGAGCACTTCGTCCGAGAACTTGCAATGCGGCACGTCGTGCTCCAGCAGAATCACCTCGTTCTCGGTGGCCATGTCGCCCAGCGGTCCCAGGGAGCGCACAAAGTGTCCATGCGGATAGCGCGAGTTCCTTGGCCAAGTGTCGATGGTCACGATGATGCGCTGGTTCTGCAGCTTGGCCGCCTGCCTGGTTTCGATGCGAATGCGCGGGATCTTCCGGTCGGCGGGCACGAAGATGTGCCGATTGGTGTCCGCTATCAAGCTGGGCTGCAGGATGCCGCAGTACTGTCGCCACTTGCGACGCACGATGCCGACGATTCGGCCGGTGGGCGTGCGTTCGGCGGAGGAGGCGGCGGCCTTAACCTGCTGCAGCATGTCCTTCTCATCCTCGGCCCGCTCCTCGCTGGGCACTTCGTCGGCATAGACATTCTTCTCCTCCAGCACGATTTCACTGGGCGCCGACCACTCCTCCTCGGGCAGCAGCTCCACGGCCACCAAGTCGCCATCGACAGCTCGATTCAGGGCTTCCCTTCCTTGGATTAGGATCTATTAAAAGGGAGGGTTATTAGATGTTTTTTATAAAGATCTCCTTAACTCACCCCCTTTTCGTACTGCTCCACGTTGACGCTGCCCTCCAGGTAGTTCTCCCTGGAGGCCTGAAAGGCGCCCTGGAGAAGCTTCTTCTGGCGCAGTCCCTCGAGCAGCTCCTTCATGCTCAGATGCGGCGGATACTGCGGCAGACCCTTCTTCTCGTTCTCGAACGTCTTGTGCGACAGTTTGTCCACCAGAAGGGGGAAATCCTCGAGAGATTTCACATACTCCGCGGCGGAGGAGACCAGAATGCCCTCGGCCTCGGCCTTTTCACGATTCCCCGCATCATCGGTGAGCAGAACAACCCGGGTGGCCGTCTTGCCACTCCTCTCCAACTCTTTCGGGGATTGCGAGGCCTGGAGATGATCATCATACCACTTGGTGGCCAGGCGGATGGCGCGATCATTGCGATCGTTGGCGGTCTCATCGGGTTCGCGATCGGCATAGGTGTCCCTGGAGGAAGAAGGGGTTATATATTAAAGGTTTTCTCCAGTAAATAAAGAAACCCACTTGTGATGCTCGTTGACAAACACATAGAAGTTCCTGGTGCGATCGTGGACCAGCTCATTGAACCGCTTGTAAATGGAGGAGCTCTTGTGCTTGACCTCGTTTAGCACGGTGGTCAGGACGACCACGTTGCGCAGCACATCCTCCTCCAGCACGTCGATCTGGTCGAGCACCACATTGGTGTCCAAAACCAGGTAGTGCGGTAACTTGAACAGGCTGCTCCGAATCTCGTGGCGCGAGTCCAGTTGGAATACCTCGTTCTGGAAGCACTGCTTGCAGAGATCGGACCCACAGCCGATGTCGTCGCGCAGATAGTGCTCCCGCACGATCTTCAGGATGTTGCCGCGCTTCGTTTTACGCGTAAATTCACGTAAAGTTTGCATTTTTAAGAGTCGCCTTCGAATTGAATGCAGCTCCACATGTGTGGTGGCCGCTACTGGAATTGGGAGGCCTTTGCACGGCGCGACTGCGGTATTATTGCGTTAAGAACTGTTTACACTGCCGCAACAAGAAATTATAATATTTAATTCGTTAAAAACCGATTTTATTAACTAAAGAAAATTACAAAAATAAATTACTTAAGTTGTTTAAGTTTTTTGAAAAATGTGGTTACTAAAAACAATTATATTAAGCTTTATTTGTAAAATACATAGAATATAATTGTAGTGAGGCTAATTTTGCAACCGCTGTATGAACAGGGCTTCGTCCTCAATGGTTTGTGTCCGTGGTGCTTAGTAAATTCCACCATTTCTTTAGTCCATAATTACTTAATTATTTTAAGGTTTTTTGGAAAATGTACTTACTTAATAAAATTGTACTAAGCCTTAGCTTGTAAAATAAATTAAATAAAATTTAAGTGAGGCTGAATTTGCAACAGCTGCGTTCCATTTCTTTGGTCCATAATTACTTAATTTTTTTAAGTTTTTTGAAAAATGTAGTTATTGAATAAAATTGTATTAAGATTAAATTTTAAAAAATAAATAAAATACATTTTTAGTGAGGTTGATTTTGCAACAGTGGCGTTCCACAGTGAACAGGCCTTCATCCTCAATGGTTTGTGTCCGCGGTGTGCAGTGAATTCCACCATTTCTTCAGTTCAAAATTAGTACCTTTTAGCAAACTGATTTTCTATATCGGCGCTTAGCACGTGTAGTACGCACGTTGCTGGAATTTTGTTATTTAAAACGCTAAATTGCACAGCTCAGCGATGGTGCCGAACGAGAAGAGCTTCCCCCGCGGCGGGACGATCCACACGGAGGCCAAAACCGCCGACCTAAGCTCGAATATCGTGGGTTAATCCTCTGAAACTCCGGAGATCTCTGTTCAAACTTTTCTGCCCCTCCACAGGTTTTTGGAGCCTCCCAGAAGAAGGTGAAGAAGGCGCCCAAGGTGAAGGATAACTTCCTCAACGATCCCAGCGAGGAACAGAATGACCAGCTGGAGGCCTTCTCCGCCGAATCCCTCAGCATGGACACGCTGCAGGAGGACATGCTGGTCATGGGAGTGGTCAAGGAGGCGAGCGCCACCGCCCTGCAGATCGCCCTGCCCGGCCGGCTGTTCGCCCGCACCCTGGTGGCGGACATCTCGGAGGCCTACACCCGCGTGGCCAAGGCGGCCATGTCGGGGGATACCAGCGAATATCACGACCTGGCGGAGCTCTTCCCGGTCGGTCGCATTGTCTACGGCAAGGCCATCAAAACAGAGAAGCTGGGCAGCGGCAGGATCAGCCTGTTGCTCTCCTTGAAACCAGCCGATGTGCATGGCAGCCTGCATCACAAGAGCATCAAGAAGGGATTCATCTTCTCCGGCGCCGTGGCGGAAATCCAGGAGCATGGCTATGTCATCGAATCCGGCGTGCAGGGCCTGCAGGCCTTTGTGCCCTGCGAGGAGCCGGCGCAGACGCTCCGCGTGGGCCAACTGGCCTTCCTGAAGGTCAAGAAGGTGCAGCACGACACCCACCAGAGCACCTGCACCTGTGTCCCCGTGGAGCAGGATCAGCTGCGCATCAAGAGCCAGAACGAGACGAATCTGGACTACATTCTGCCCGGCAGCATTGTCCGGTTTAAGGTGGCCAGGCATCTCAAGGATGGCTTGAAAGGCAGCATCATGAACGAATCCTTCAGCGCCTACATCAATGAGCACCACCTGGCCAACGCGCTGGACACCCTGGATGCCTACGAACTGAACGAGGACTACAATGCGCGGGTGCTCTACGTGATGCCGCTCACCAAACTGGTTTACCTGACCCTCAATCTGGATATTAAGGCTGGGGACAACGAGGAGCAGGAGGAGGAGCCTCTGAAAGTGGGCTCCGTGGTGGAGAAGGCCAAGGTCCTGCGCCTGGGCAGCGGTGGAGTGGTGCTGCTTTTGAACAAAAAGCTAAAAGGCATCATTTCGTACGGTTCCATCAGGTCCAACTTCAAGGGCAACTACGACAAGGACGAGGTGCTGTCTAAATACGGACGGAAGACCAAGCACAAGGTGCGCATCCTGGGGTACGATGTCATAGAATCGCTGTACTACTGCTCCGATGATCCCAATGTGGTCAACGAGAAGCTGTACTCCCTGGAGGACATCAAAGCAGGAGACCTAGTGACAGCTAAGATATTCAAAAAGGACGAGAAAATCAAAGGATGGTCGGTGAAGATCGGCAAGGTCAACGGAATACTGGAGCAGTTCTACCTGGCGCCCAATGTTCGCTACGATGTGGGTCAGTTGGTCAAGTGCCGCGTCCTGGAGGTGAACGAGGAGCGCAGGGTCTGCTACCTGAGCAACCGCAGCGAGTACTTAAGCAAGGGAATGAAGCTGCTCACCGACTACTCAGCCGCCCAGGCGGGCAACGTCTACACGGGCACCGTGGTGCGTTGCGAGGACAACTATGTGCTCGTAAAGTTCGGCAGCGGCATCAAGGGCGTTCTGCACAGGCAGAATCTCAAGGAGCAGAGCTCCTTCTTCGAGGGACAGACCACCAAGTTCCGCATACTCAGCCGCACCAAGGATCAAATCAGCTTGACTCTGCCAGAGGACAAGTTCCAGCTGGGCGAGATCTGTCCCGTTGAGATAACCAATGCCTTGGATGCTGGTCTGGAAATCAAAATCAGCTTTGCTGCCGACGACGACGAAGAGGATGAGGAGGGCAATCCCAAGTTGGAGGAGTACGTTGGCCTCATCCCGCTGCGCCTGCTCTCGGATCATCTGGAGCTGCTGCACGCCCAGATGCGCATCCATCCCGCTGGCTCCTTCACCGAGGCAGCCTGCATTATGCAGAACATCTTCAGCTTGCGCGATGTCGCCTACTTTGGTGGCCAGCTCACCAAGGATTGGCAGTCGGTTCAAGTGGGCGACATTATCCGTTCCTATGTGAAGCACGCCACCGAGCAGGTGGTGGACCTCATGGTCTGCGTTCGCAACTACAACAAACCGGTGAAGGTGCACGTCAAGATGCTGCGTCTGAATGCCGTGAAAAATGCGCCCGTGGAGCTCGTGCCGGAGCAGCTGCTCCTGGTCAAGGTGCTCAGCAAGGAGGTGGAAACGAAGACGCTGACGGTTTCAGCCAAACTCACTGATGTCTGGAGCGGGGATCTCGGTGATACTGCCAAGCTGGTCGAGAGGTGGGCTCGTACTAATCCTAATAGGAACCGCGAATTCTTAGGAACAAGAGGAATTATTTGTGTTGATCATTCATAACTTAACTAAGAAACCTAATATTCTATATATTCTACTCTATATTCTATATTAAATTTAAAATAACGCGAATTCTTTAGAACAAGAAGACCACAAGAATTTGCATGGGCGAAAGAAGTTGAAACAAATGTCGATATATCGTATCCTTTAATTTTAAATATTATACACAAATAACCATCTTGACCTTAAGAATTCGCGACGGGTCGTTTATCTGTTAAAATTGTGATCACCGTCGGTTAAGTTTAAGGTTTGACAAACAAGTCAGGTTACTTGTGCAGGGCTCTAATTCCTATCTTAACCTTAAACTAATTAAATGTATATTACAGCTACCTAGATGAAGTGGCCCAGATAAAAAGGGCGCTAGAAGAAACCTCGGCACCCATTTCCAAATACTCTGTGGGCGATAAAATCGACGTGGTCTTCAAAGGAATCGATGCGACCTCCCATGATTGGGTTTACACAGTGGAGGGCAGTGCCAAAGTGTCTGCCCTGCTGCTCTCCAGTCTGGCTGGAACCGCCACAGCTCCCGAGGCGGGCAGCAAGCACCAGGCGGTTGTCCTATGGATCGACTATTCCAGCGATGTGCTGCTCATCAGCAACAAGAAGCTGGACATTGAACATATTGCACCAAGCGGGGCACTTTCAACGAATCTAATCGGCAAGGCCGGCATGAAGGCCAAGGTTCTGTTGAAGCTGGAATCCGTGGTCGTGTGCTCACTGAAAAAGGGCACAAATCCTTTGGTCATCTGTCCAATACGCCTGCACCCTAACGATGTGGAGAACTCAGGAAGTGCCGGGCTGCGGCAGGGAGATTTCTGCAACATAGCCTTCATTCACGACACACTGCCCATCGCAGTGCCAGAAACTGTTTGGCGGATTTGGAGGGGACTAAAGAGAACGGCGGAATCAGAGGATACGCCAGTGAAGGCCAAGAAGGCAAAAGTTGAAGAACCTACCAAAAAGAAGAAGGCAAAAACTGAAGAAACTCTAAAGCAAAAGAAGGAGGAGCTTTCGGCCAAAAAGCAAACCACCAAGCGAAAGGCTGAGGAGGCTGAAAAGATCACCAATGGCCAGAAGAAAACCCAACCCTTGACCAACGGCCTTGCAAAGGAGAAGACCAAGCAAAACGGCAAGCTCTTCTTCGAGGATAAAACGCCTGCGAAGAGTGCCAAGTCGGAAACGCCAAAAACCAATGGAGTGGAAGCCAAGTCGCGATTGCCGGGTGTGTCCAGTTTCTGGGATAGCGATGTGAACCAAACCAAGGAGGCTTCCAGTGACGAAGATGAAGAGCAGGATGCAGCGGAAACCCAACAGAACGCGGCCAAGAAGAAGCGGCTCAGCTCGAAGGAGAAGGCCAAGGCGGAGGTCAAGGAGGAGCAGCGGCTGCGGGAGATCGAGGAGCGCAATGCGGATCCCAAGGCGCGTTTGGAGACCATCGACCAGTACGAGCGACTGGTGATTGCCCAGCCAAACAGCAGCATATCCTGGCTAAAGTACATCGCCTTCCTGCTCTCGAACACGGAGATCGAAAAGGCTCGCGATCTGGCTCGAAGGGCCATTTCAACGATATCCTTCCGGAAAACGCAGGAGCTGCGGAACATGTGGAGCGCCCTGCTCAATATGGAGCTCGTCTACAGCAATAACTTCGATGATGTGCTCAAGGAAGCCCTGAATTGCAATGATCCCTTGGAAATCTACATAAATGTGGTAGACATTCTGAAGAAAAACAAGAAGAAGGAGCGTCTCGCCTCTGTGCTGACCACAATCCTCAACAAGTTTAAGGCGGAGCTGAGGGTGTGGCCCCTGGCTGCCGAGGCCTACTTTTGGCTAGGGAAGTCTGACCAAGTCCACAATCTGCTGCAGAGAGCTCTGCGCGGGCTGCCAAATCAAGAGCGTACGTTATATATAATTTATATTAATTGTATGTTATATTAAATGTTTCTATTACCCTTTTAGACATCCCCTGCATTGTGTCTTTTGCCAAGCTGTATGCGAAACACGATAATAATGACATGGCCCAGACTTTGCTCGACGATGTGGTCACCTCGTATCCCAAGAGAATAGACATTTGGTCCGTCTATGTGGACATGCTGATCAAGGCGGGTCAAATCGATTCTGCGAGGTGAGTTTTGAAGGTTTTTCTGATTCATTTCGAGTTGAATGAATGAATGAATAATTTTTATGAATTTACGAGATTTTTTTTGTGCTTTCTTTTGAGAACAAAAAGTGGGAAATTTTTTACAAAATAAAATTCATGCGCAATTAATCACAAAATCATGGCCCTTTCTTCTTAAATAGAAATTGTCGTTTGAATTATTTCGGAATTCTATTAAACTCAAAATTCAAATTCATTCAATTCTATTAAACTCAAAATTCCAATTATTTCATTCATATAAAACAAAAAATTCAAAATTCATTAAAGCCTTTCATGATAACCCTGTATATTCAATGTGGAAATTCATTACCCTCTTTTATTACAGAAACGTTTTGGAGCGTGCCGTGTTGCAGAAACTGAAGCCCAACAAGATGCAAGTCATCTACAAGAAGTATCTGCAGTTGGAGGAGAACCACGGCACGGAGGCCACGGTGGCCAAGGTCAAGCAGCAGGCCGAACAGTGGGTGAAGAACTACGCCAAGGCGATCAAGTAGTTCCTCAGTCCCACCCCCACTTTATAGATCGTAATTTAGGCTTAAGTACAAACAGTTGCATACAGTGTTTTTTCATGGTACTTTATTCTAAAACTATTTTAAATGAAGTGTGATTCCGAGTGCTACCTTTTATATATATGTATGATAGTACCTATATATTATAGAAATACATATAAAACGTTGCTTTGGCCTTGCCCCCTACACATCGAATGTAGGGCTCTGATGCCAACAATCAACTTAAGAATTGAACAATAATTGAACATATTCTGCCACTGTGTATGATGGATATGATGGGTGGGCTAGGGATGTGATTGGGATTGGGTTGATTGGTTTGATTGGTTTGGTTTTAAGACTGACAGTTACAATGACAAGTGACGGGATTTACTCTTACATATTAATCAATAATAAGAAATAAGACGCTAGAAAATGTTACAATGGTTTCTCGATTTAGCAATTAGATTTAATTTATACATAAAACAGTCTGCGTCTGCGGTCACTCCTTCAAGATGCCGCGCGCCTTGGCAGAAGGTTTGCGCACCCTGCCCCGGCTGCTCACGTTCACCAGCTGGTCATCCGAGTCCACCGAGCTGCCCTCCTCCTCCTCCTCATCCTCGTCGTCTTGATCCCGCTCGGTGGAGGCCTGCGATCGGTCCTGTGAGCTGGCATGACCGTTGCGAATTCGTTTACTCCGGTGCGAAAAGCCCGCTGCCGCCTCTTCCTCCTCGGACTGCTCATTGTAGCGCGGCCTCTTTTGATTCCGACCGGCGCGCTGGTTTCCACTCCGATTGGTACGACGACTGCGCGGACCCACATAGTCATCATCATCATCGTCGTTGTCGTTTTCGAACGAGTTATTCGATGGCGGGCGACGGGTGCGCCGCAACGGTCGCTCCTGCGTGGCCGCCGAGGAGGAGGAGGTTTTCGCCTTGCGCCTCGTGCGTCCATTGCTGGGCGAAACGTAGCTGGTCAGTGGCTGATTGTCCTCCGAATCGGAATCCTCTTCATCATCATCGGCGGAACTCTGCGAGCTGGAGCCACCATCGGTGCCCTCGTCGGACGCCGCAGCCTCCTCCTCTTCCTCGTGATCCTCATCATGGGAGTTTGCCTGACTGGCGCGTCCACGCAGACGTCTTGTTACCACGTTGCTCGTACTGTTGCTAGTGCTATTCGTGGTGGAGGTGGGTCGCCGGTGATTGGCTATGGCTGAGAGCAGACGTGAGTTCTCCAGGACATCCAAACTTGTGTCCAACTCATCGGCGTTGCGTTGATGACGCGACAGAATGCGTCGCGGAGCCCTCGATGAGTTGACATTGCCCAGGTAGTTATGGTCATGGGTGGACACCGCCGGCTGCTGTTCTGCCCGAGAGCCTGCGGCCGAGGACGTCGTGGAGGTGGCGTGCGAACGGGTCATATGAGTGTTTCGTTCCGGCGGCGAGGCCAAACGACGTCGCAGGCTGAGCGGATGAGGTGCAGCTGCTGTTGCTGTTGAGCTTGCTTTTGCAGGTGATTGGTAGTTTTCTGCACGGAAAAAATAGTTAATATCCCTTTTTTTTACAAAAAATAATTAAAACCTACTTTGCTGATTGTTGGCCAGCGGCTCGTTGTCACTGTCGTCGTCATCGTCGTCACTCTGGGCAGGACGCACGACGGTGTTGCGATTCGTGCGCAACTGACGGACAGGACCGGCGGCGGCCTGTGCCAAAGCGGCTCGACTAGTAGAGGGCACGTCGTCCTTTGTGGGCGTTGGCAGGATCTATAAGATTAAAAAGAGGTTACAAAAGTGCTATAAGGATTGTAATCTATCTAAGTGACTAACCTCCTCGGCTTCTTCGCTCTCCTCCTCCTCCTCTTCGATGTCGCTGCCGCGTCCCCATTCCGTGAGTGCCCGCTTGGCGCTCTGGCGCGTGGGCCTCATGACCGGCGAGTCCGTATCCGATTCAATGATGCGTCCGTTGCGCACTGGCAGGTGGTAGCTGTGATCATTTTCGGCGGCAAGATGTGATGAGGTTCTGCTCCCGTTGGCCCGGGTGTTTCGCGAAGGACTCTCCAAACTGGAGTTGCCGGCTGCTGCGGCACTGGTACTCGGTCCATTGCCAATGGGCTGCGATCTGCTGCTCGCCGAGCGGCCCTTTCGACGACCACCGCCCACCTGGGTGCTGTCCTGGGTGCTCTCGTCGTGCTGCGAGTGGGAGGCCGCCTCCTCGGCGGAACTGCCCACCATGCGACGAGTGCGCCGCGGTGAACCAGTGGCGGCAGCTGCAGCTGTTGTGGCTGGACTCTTGTTCATCCGCCGCCGCTTGCTGGAGTGGCCATTTTTCTGCCGGTTACTAGACGGTCGCTTGGCCCCCGATCTCCGGCGACTGCTGCGTCCCTCGTTGGGATTGTAGCTATCCTCCGAGTCGTTCACATTGGAGTCATCGCTCAGGCGTTGCCGCTGCCTCGCTCTGCGCGTGCGTGTCTGCTGGGGCGAACTATCATTGGACTGGGCTCGCTCCTCCTCCTCATCGCTGCTGGCATCCGAAGTGGCCTGCGCACTGGTCTCCTCCTCCTCCTCCTCCTCGCTGCTGCTGTCCTTGATTCGCCGCTGCTGGGCGGCCGAGGAGGAGGTAACGCGGTTGGAGCCAGACGAACTGGCACTTACGGCCACGCCGTTTCGTCGCCGAGAGCGACCACCTCTGGTGGCGGCCGCCTCCTCGTCGTCATCATCGTCGTCGTCATCATCCTCCTCCTCCTCCTCCTCCTCTTCACTGGAGGCCAGTGGTAATCTACGAGCCGCCGCCGTCGGCTTTTGATTGCGACGCGTTGAGCGCTCCTTGTTGGACCGCTTGTTTGGACTGCTGCTGGAACCACCGCGTCCTCCGCCGCCACTGCTGCCCGATTTGTTTTTATTGGCACGCCTGCAGGCCGCCTTCCAGCTGGTGACCACCGTCTTAATATGCGACTCAAAGAGCGCACTGAGTCGCAGGGTCATGGCATAGATCTGAAATCATAAATGGGTAAATTGATTAATTATTGGTTGAAAAATTACACGTTTCTTGGTGAAATATGTTAGTACACCAGGCTGTGAGATGAGAAACCTTACCGCTAGATTATCCTACATTAGATGATAGTCACGGAGATCGTCATTCATTTGGTTAGACATTATTTCAAAATGTTTTGATGGGTTATTTTTCATAAGATTGATTTATGTTTTTTTTGATGGGGTGGTTAATTTGAAGATCAAGTTTGAAGGCATGTTCACGGAAGGCAAAAGAAACGTAAAGAATAGATGGATGAGCTTGCATATGTGTCTACGTGAGTGAGTGTGTTTCGGGATGGGGGTCATTTAAACAACTTAAACGAAAAGGCAACAACAGCTGAGAAGGAGGAGGGATATCTCAGTCTTGAAAAGCAATAAATGACGATCTGATCTGCAACCGATCTGCCAATCTGCACTCCACTCACCCGCGAGCGTTTGTTGGTATTGTAGTTCTTCGAATTCTGTATGATCAATCGCACATCCTTGGCAAAGTCCAATGGATCGTCGTAGTTGCCGCCCAGTAGATCCTCCTTCACCGTGCGCAGATCCATGGGCGTCGCAATGATCTCCAGATAGTCCGGGAAATCTATGGTATCCACAGGCTCACGGAACGGCTCTGAATCGGTACGTGCCCACATCATATCGAGCAGTTGTCGGCAGTCGGCGCGCCAATCGCCTTCCGAGTGAATTCGCGTGGAGCTGGTAAATTCATTGATAAATTAGTAATTGTATGCTATAAACACGGAGAATATTATTTTTACCGTCGAGCGGAGGATACTCGTTGTCTGGCTGCTGCTGCAGCTGCCGAAGTTGTTGGTCCCGTGCTGGTCGAAGGCACCGGATCCGAATCCGCCTCGTTCTCCGACTCGGAAGAGTGGTACACATCGGCCAGCTGATGATAAACAGCAGCCACATCTATCTCATCCGCTTCCCTAAAAGATATTGCATTTATTTAAAAGGGCTTTCCTAGAATAGGTACTTTTTACCCACCTTATGATCCTCAGACAAAGATCTGTGACAATCCGTGAGTGCTTGACGATAATCGCGTGCCGACGGTTGTACTGCTCCGCATTGGTGGCCAGGTAGCGCACATCGAACTGGGCCGAGGTGATGCGGCGGTAGAAGTGGTTCTCAAAGCGAGACTTTACCGTGGTCAGATCGATGGGATACTCGATCAAATAGGCGTAGTCCGGATAAATGTTCAGGTCGACGGGGGCCAGGAAGTGTTCTGCTATGGAGAGACGCATTACCTGTAGGGAAAATCAATGGTAAATAAATAAAACGAACATTTAGAGTACACACAAAAAAAACACGTCGCCGTAAAATTGATATGTCCCTGTAAATGTCAGGTTTTTCATACTCATATCGTTTTTACCTGAAATATTCATAAAATTGATTTTAAATAATATCATTTTCCCGAATTCTCTCTCTCGGAGATTCTCTAACTTCGAATAAAGAGAGAAAAGCACTTGCAACTGTATGTGAGATGCGACTATACTATGAAAAATTGAAATATCGTTTTTACGGTTCGACTATTTCAAAAATAAAATTTATCTTAAATAATGTAAAATCGATCTACGTTTCATATCGATTTTTTTTTGGGTGTAGGTAAACTTAATCCTCACCTGTTCCAATCCATTGATTATACGCCTGCAGGTGCCGTCGCGATCCCCGCGATGCCATTCCTCCGACTTGGGCTGATACAGGGTGGCGCGTATCTCCTCTGGGAGAACCTCCACTGCACCACCCACTTCTACGGGCACCCTGGCCTGGTCTATGGGCTCCATGTCCCAGGGACTCATAAACTCGTACTCGCCATTATCCCAACGCACGCGGAAACACATAAAGGAGGAGTCGGGAAAGTCGGCGGAGAGGGCGTGACGCGATTCAATCTGGCCCATCCACCAGCCGTCGACAATCATGCAGCGGAACCGATCGCCAATGCTCCAGTTGCGTTGCACTGCCAAATCGAAGGTCTGGCGCAGCACCAGAAAGTCCAAAACGTCGGGCATGTCGTGATACTTGATCTTGAACGTCGTCCCCGTCATGTTGCCCTCCTCATCGATGATGGCCAGCTTCAGGCAGCACAGTCTCGGTGGTCGTATCTCGTACTTGATGCCAATCACTCGAACCAACTCATGATCACGCAGCGTGTGAAAGTTCCACGGCTCTGAGCTATGCGTCAGTTTATAGACCTTCTTCAGGCGCACGGCATCCAAGTACTTGGCGTGTCCTTGCCGAAAATAGACCACCTCATCACCCATTTGTGGGTAGTAAGGCGCCTTGCGTGGAATCACCTCCGACAGCCACTCGGCGGGACGATAGAGCTCCGGTATCTCACCATTGGCATCTGTGGGCGGGAACAACACTGTCTTGCGTCCCACTTTGCGGGCTCTCACCTGACCACCGCTGCCTCTGGCTCTGCCCGCCCGCTCATCATCGCTGCTGTCATCGCTGCTGCGAGGACGCCGAGACAGCGGCTTGCGCTTGGAGCGCTTCGGTGGCTCGAGATTAGGGCCAGGAGTATCCGCCACCCAATCGGAGTAATCAGAGCTATCCGTTTCCGACTCATCGCTGCTGTCCTCTAGGTTTTCCTCCACATTCGAGTAGCTGGTGTCGCCGGAAGAGTTGCTAGACACATCCTCCTCCTCTTCCTCGGGCGGCGGTGGCACCTCATCGAAGCGTTCCGGCTCCTGATCTCGTACAGCTCGCGTTCGATAGGCGGGTTGGGGTTGTCCTGCTCCTGGCTGGGCGGCGCCACGTCTACGGCCACCGGTTCGTGCGCCGCCGCCGCCATTGGCACGCGTATTCCTTGGCCTTCCCACACTGCCCGCCTGCTGCGAGGATGCCGCACTGGCCGTGTTTATCATGATCGGTCGGCGACGCATCTCGCGTTTGTACTCCTGCTTCTCGAACTGACCGGCCGCGTAGATGGTCTGCTTGAGGTTCTGCAACTGGGGGTACTTCATGGGACGCACATAGGTGCGTCGAATGAACTTGATGGGTAGTGCCTGCTGCGCTTGTGCCGGGCTGGGTTCTCCCGCCTGTTCCGGAGCTGCTGCTGCTGGTCCCGGTTGATCCTCGGCGGCTGGAGCAGCTCCCCATCCCTGGCGAGGAGTGCTTAGACGACTGCCCAAGACGTTGCCACGCGAGGATTGCCTGCCATTGGAGTCGGGCAGTTGACGATTGGTCAGGCGCTCAAAGGACTGGTTCGCTACGCTCGCATTTCCATCATTAGCATTGGCATTAACCGACTGCCGGTTGGCCAGAGCTGCAATCATGCGGTCGATGTGCGAGTAGTTGGCTCCTCCAGCTGCTCCTCCAGCAACAGCAGCTGCGGGGGCAGCCACTGCGGGTGCCGGAGCTTCTGCGGGTGCTACAGCGGCGGGCACAGGAACATCACCAGCTCTATCGTCGATTTGTACGCCATCCACGCCCACCGTAAGATTCGGAATCAATTGATCCAAGCTGCAGCTCTCACGGCCCGGCACAAAACGTTGAAACCTCGACGGATGCGGGTTGCCATCGGCGTCGACCAGGAAGGGCGGCGGCATCAGATGCGGCATTATCTGCGTCTGCTCGTCCACCACATGATGCTGGGCATCGCGCAGCAAAGGCCGGAAGTCCGTGTGAAAGAACAGCTCAGTGGGCAGCTAAAATAGATTAATTTATCATCTTATTGCTCTTAAAAAGAATTATTTAACTTACCATTTTGTACTTATCAATGCACACGCCTAGGCCAAAGATCAGGATGTGTCCGTGCGAGTCGGTGGCAGCTATCATCGTGCCATCCGGCGACCACTTGGCATCGAACACGCTGCCATGTCCCTGGCCATCGATGTCGTTGAGGAAGGTCGCCACACAAACGCCCTGGTCGATGTCCCATAGAAACACCTGGCCATCGTGACCGGCGGACAGCAGGACGTGCTCATCCCTTGGGTTTGACTCAAGCACATACAGCTCATCCTTGTGGCCACGCAAGACACGATGCAGCTTGGCTGACTTCGAGTCCCAGATTTTTATCTATTTAAGGGAGTAAGGAAAATACCAGTTGTTAGCAGGGTTCGGAAATTGACGGACATGTTAAGAACATGAAAAATTGTATTTTACAGTGTGAGCAAAATTGTTGACACGTGTGGCAAATACAAGTGTTAAAATGTGAAAAATAATTGTTAGCACACACAGCTCACTTGTGTTTTTAACACGACGTGTTTTTTACACAAATGAAAATTAAATTTCACAAATGAAAAACCAATATGGGCCATGACCTCTTATATGTTAGTTTTAACTATTTCAAAACATAAAATAATTCTTATACTCTAGAAAACCGTGAATTTTTTAGTTCAACATACAATTCTGACACTTTAGTGTTAAAAACACGGTGTGTAAAAAACTCGTCATGTTAATAACACGTCGTGTAAATAACACAAATGACATGTGTGTGTTAATTATGTTTCTAACATATGTAGGATACAATTTTTTACACACAAGTCAATAATTTTCTTTGACCTTAACACTTTGACATTTAACATGTTAATAACGAAAGTTTTTTACAGTGTGTGCTTGTTGTTAGTAAAGGTTTTAAGGCGGAGAATGCAGCATACTTACAGTAAAATCATTGACGGCTGTGATGACATAACGATCGGAGGCATCCCAGGCCACCATGGTCACCTTAAGCCTCTTTCCCTCCTCCGGTTCCGGGCAGCTGGCCAGACGCTCCGTCATGCACAGCTTGGCGCTCTTCCACTGCTGCGACTCAAAGGTCCAGATGTGTGCGGTGCCATCCTTGCTGCCCGAGATGAATCTCAGCCCGCGATGCGACCACTGCACCGAATCCACGGCATCTGTGTAGGCTTCTGTCTCGAGGATCCTCTTCGGACCATCCTCGCCCATCATGTAGACACGCACATGATGATCCGCAGAGCCAGCGGCCAGAAAAATGCCGCCCGGCGAGAAGGTGGTGCACATCATCTGCGCCTGTCCAGGTCGCAACTTCTCGTGATACTGCGTTGGCTTCGGGGCAAAGGTGATCTTCTGACCGCGCGGCGTTGAGTACTGCCAAAAGGCGATGGATCCGTCCGTGCTGGTGGTCACCAGATACTTGAGATCGCTGCACGGCGACGGGCAAAAGTTCACCGACGTTATCATGCCCGTGTGGGCGGACAGAACGGCAATGGGCGAAGTGGTCTGCATGTCCCACACCCTCAAAATGTGATCCAATGATCCGGCAGCCAGCATTGTGTTGTCCAGATTGATGGCTATGTCGGTGATCTCGGAGGAGGCGCCTCGCAGAGTGGCCAGCAGACGGCCATCTGCAGCGGACCAAATCTTTATAAGCAGATCATCGGCTCCGGTGATGATGTAGCGCCCGGTGCGGTCAAAGAGCACACAGTAGACCGAGGACAAATGACCCACGGTGCGGCGGAGCAGCTTCGTCCGGCGGTAAAGATCCGTGGGCACCAGCAGCTTGCGACGCACATCTCCGCCATGTTCGCGGCCAGTAAGAACTCGATCTGGATATGCAAATATATACCATTAGAAACCTATAAGGATTTGGAATACCACAAAATACCCACCCAAGTTGTGTGTGGGCTTGGTGAGGCGCGAATCCGGCAGTGAGACTCCATGGAGGCGGGTGCAGTAATCCTTCAGAGAGCGGTGGCAGTAGACGGTGTCCTTGGTGCGCAGGAGGTTCTGGCGACCAGTGCCCAAGAGTGAGTTTATGCCCGGCACACTGGGCGGCAGATCGCGATCCACCAGCGGACCCAGGCGGCCGCATATCTCGAGCAGATGATTGGCGCCAATGTGCTTGTACTTTCGTTCCTGCGGATTCAAATTCAAAAGTTAACGTTCGGTCTATCGATAAACGGGTCGATAGGCTTTGCATATATGGTTGTCTCGCTCTGGCGCAATGTGGTGGTTGCCTGCCCGTGTGTGTGCGCATGGGCATGTGCATGTGTGCGAAAGCAAAATGTCGGCTGGCTGCAGCTAATTGTTATAACTAAAATTACAACGCATTTGTTTAAAAAATTCTAGCTTTTCAAAAATTTTAATTTTTCCAGGGGTTTTAGAATTTTTGCACCCGTTCTTTGAGTTTTTGAAAAATGTTCATTTTTTTTACCCTTTAACCTAGTTAATGCTTAAGTTATTTGTTAATTTAGTAGCCATCATGATTGATGTCTTAAGTTGTAATGTTTTTTCTTTTTAAGCAAAACACTAATTTTTTACGGCCAACATTTTTCTCTATCCCCTCGATGACGTCACAAAGGCGCATGCAGGAAAGAGAGGGAGGGAGGGAGAATGCGAGAAGCAGACACACACACACTTACGCAACACTTATGCGCCGATCAAAAGGCGATTTAAACGATAACTTAAAACGCCTAATTGATTAATTATGAAAACACTCACCAGTTCCTCAAAGGTCTGTTCATGCTCGTTTCCCTGCCAATCGAGGCGACGCGGCAGAACCTGGGAATCGAAAGGTGTGTTATATATAGACTGCGGTATATATGTATGTATGTATGTATATATGCGACTGGCTCTTATCACTTGTGCACTCCGTGACGTCGCCGATGACGTCGCGGGGGCATCCCTATGATTTCTGTTTTTTTTTTCGTCTCTTTTTGGACGGACTATGACTATATCCCGTGGCCCCAGCAAGCCCACAATTCAGTCCGATTTCCAACTCTGAGACAAGCGGACGTCGTCGTTCGCTGCCGGCAGCAGAAACAACAAAAACAACCAAAACAAAGCGTATAAACAAACGCGGTTTTCTTTTTTACCCCCCTCCCTCCCGCCTATAGAGACGCAACTAAAATATATCCCAAAAAACCAAAACTCACCTTCTTCTCCTCGAGCTCGCGGATCAAGACCTATACAGAGAAATATAACAGGGGATTTGGATGCAAAAATTAGTAAAAATGTTTGTAAACAAAGCGGGTCGCGAAATTGCGCTCTTTTTCGGTTTCCGATTCCGATTCCATTGCGATCTCGAGAGCGCTGCTTTCAACCCACCTTTGCCGTCTCCTCCAGCGGCCCCTCGGCCAGGAACTTGGAGATGAGGAAGTACAGCTCTGCAAGAAAGGGGATTTCACGGGTTTTAGTGCAACAAGTAGTTGGAAACGCACTCGCCAGGAGTCGCCAAAACGGCACAAATATCTGGCCAAAGGGGCCCGTGCAATTCGCTTGGCCAAACGCAGGCGAAAAAACGCAGCCATTCGTATTCGAAGGGCGAGAGGCACAGACACACATTTCACAAAGTCAGGGGGGCTGCGCTACGAGGGGCGCTCGTTTGGGCCACCAGCGGCGCCCGGGGACGGTACGCACCTGGCCTAATCGCATCACCGGAACTGGGCTGTCTAGTTTCCATTATTCATCGCGAATTGAGGCTCCGATTATGACAAAATTGCAGTTGCTTTCTTCTAAAATTCTTTTCGCAGCTTCTTCTTCCCGTGTGACACTCGATTGCCATTCGCCCCGAGCGGTTCGCGCAGGCGTATCGATAGTTGGCGACGGGCCACTCACGAGCTATCGATTGTCGTTGGCCTGGGCCACTTTTGGATTTGAATTTTTGAAGAGAATAAGCAGCGCTTATGGATGTTTCGTAGCCTATTGAGATTTTTATTGTATTTTTAAAGCGACTTATCCCTGAGTAGAGTTTTTTTGTTGCAGTTTACTTTAGTTTAAGTAAAAAAAGGAGCTTAGCAAGGTTTTCATTCATTATTTATATGCGGCTCTAGACAAACAAAAATATTTTTGTTTTCGTATTTTTCATTTCATTTACCTGCAAAATTTCCAAACAATCATACAATTTTTCAGTAGAGAGTTTTTATGATTATGATTTAAATTTATTCAGCTAGAAAAAAATCCAAAAATGAAACATATAATTACAAATTAAAATTTTTTTCAACTTTTTTAAATTTGCCTCGAAAGTATATCGATTGTTTTTGAGTACTGTAGACATCCATTCGGGGCGAATGGCAAGGACTATTTTTAAAATTAGAGGACGTTTATTTACCATGAAACGTATACTCTTTAATTTAACTAAATTCTATTAAAATCTAAATAGTTTAAACTAGCTAATCGGGCTACTAAAATAGTAAATGAACTCCAATAAGAATACCCCCTATGTGGGCCGCCCACCACTAGTTTTGGATATCGGAGCAGCTGCGATAATTATTTTTTGGGAGATTTTGCCATTTTCTCATGTAATAAAAAATAGAAATAGCCAACAATTAGAGGCCCGTAGATAAATGCCCCCGGAAACCGAGCACGCGAACGGATAGAGAATCAAGCGAACATGGAGTGCAATCTGGGCAGCGAGATTGGCCAGAAGATGCGGGTAAGTGACTGCGGAAAATCAATGAACTCGTAATGGAACTCGACAAGGATTGACCCCTAAAACAAATGTTTTGCTATCCCTGAAATAGAGCGCCGTGAAGGCGAAACTGCTGGAACTGGGAACCGGCGGATCGTCCGGCTTCATAGACGACGAACTGCCGGACTATGTGATGGTCATGGTGGCCAACAAGCGCACCAAACAGCAGATGAACGCCGAGCTGAATCTTTTCCTGGGCGACCAGACCGATCTCTTTGTCACCTGGCTGCACGAGGTGCTGCAGAAGCTGCAGGAGGTGACTCTCCCTGCAGCCACTGGTAAGATGATAGCACTTCCTCCCCAGAAAACCCACTAATCCTATCTTTTCTTAGCTTCCAGCAAGAAGCGCAAGTCTCGTGGCCAAGCAGAAGCGGCTAAAACTAAGGAGAAGGAGAAGGAAAAGGACAAAAAGGGCTCCAAGAAGGACAAGAGGACGCACCGCAAGTCCGGCGATGAGCTGTCGGAGCCACCACAGTCGGGATCCACGGATGCCATGCCCGTCATCAGCTCCATCACCGATGTCTTCGCCGAGGAGCTGCTCGAAAAGGCCAAGAAAACCATGGACCTTGATCTCAGTGCCAAAGACGAGATCCTGCACAAAAAGAAGAAGCGCAAATCCATCGAGGATGTGGAGCCAACGGCCGAGATCACAGAGATCAGCTCAACAACAACAACCACAACGACGAGCGGCGTCAATCGGGAAAAAGATCTCGCCGAGCTGGCCGAAATCCAGAAGAAAATCCATGCAGCCAAGAAGCATTTACGTCAGATTGGCGAAATCGAGGACGAGAGCGATGAGGACGATGAGGACCTGCTGAATCTGAGTGCCCAGGACGAGTCGGTGGATCAGGAGCCCGAGGAGGAGCCGCCGCAAACGGAGGCGCCGCCGCGAAGAGCCAAGAGTCCCATTGTTTTCAACCGACGCGAGAAGACACCCGAAAGGCGCGCAGAGGCTGAGCCGGAGATTGATTCCCGCCAGGAAGCGGCAGCTGCAGCGGCGGAGGATCCGACGTCTGAAAAGTCCCGGGAAGATCGTTCTGAGCGGAAGTCCGTGCACGATCGGCTGGGCTCCAAGGCCCAGCAGCCGGCGGAGCGCTCGCAGCGCAACCAAAAGGAGCTCTATGTGCCGGCCCATCGGCGACGCAGTGAGCCCGAGGCCACCAAGGAGCGTGGCCAGCGGGAACGCTCGCGGGAGCGACGCTCTAGTCGCGATACCTCCCGGGACACCAACCGCAATCACCGCCAGCGTCGTTCGCCCAGTCCAGAGGCTCCAAGTACCAAGCAACGCATTGGTTCCCGGGTAATTGTGGCCGTTAACAAGCCGCCCGAACCGTCGGACGATGAGGATATGGCGGATAAACCGGTGAACTCCGTCATCAAGATCAAGCCGCGGCCACAGGTTTCTCCCAGACGGCAGGCCTGTAAGAACCTCCTGCTGCGTGCCGTCGCAGATGCCCAGCGCTCGACAATTCTGGCCAAGACTTCGTCGAAAAAGGAGAGCGAGGAGGTGGTGGGCAAGATCAGCAGCTCGCTGGGCAAGCGCAAATCGATGGATAAGAACGAACGCGAGAGGGATCGAGGCAAGCGGAGTGCAGCCGGCAACGAACTCTTCCGGCGAACCACTCGTGAGTTGGTCGTAAATGTGACCCAGCGCGATGGCAAGCGTACGCGGCGCTCCAATGAGAGTCGCGCCGAGATCAAGGTGGTGGAGGAGGAATATACCCCCTCTCTGTTGACTGAGCAGATCGAAACGTATGTGCCGCAGTTGCTGACCAATGTGGATGAACTGGATTTGCACATTAGCTCGCATGATGAGCCGAGTCCCAGTTCCGGAGCACTCAAAACCCAATTTGTGGTGACCTTAAACGGCGACAAGGGAGGCAACGGCAAGGGAGGCTCCTCCTATCGCAAGCGGCCGAGCAACTCACGCCGGCGCTCCTCCTCGCCCGTGTCCACGCCACAAGTGTCCTCCTCCAGCGCCGAGCCGACGTCCACGACGGCGGACAAGCGACGCCGATCGAATCGGGACAGGAGCTTCTCGCCCTCGCCCACACAGAGCAGTGGTTCGCCCTCCCTGCCGACGACACGCAGCCTCAATCGCAGCGAGGTGCTGCGGCAGCCGCAGGAGATTAAAAAGATCATCATCAAGAACGACACGGATGAGGATGATGAAATGCATGGATCGCCAAAGAAGCGTTCGCCCAATAAACGCCAACAGGGAGCCACAACCTCGGCCAATGGCCACAAGGACAATAAGGACAAAGCTCCTCCAATCGAGGAGAGATCGACTACTCCGCCGCTGCCGGCCAAACCAAAGCAGCGGCCGGAGAAGCGAGCTTCCAGCAAGGAGAAACCCATAAGATCGGAGTCAGTAGAGGCGCCAGCGGGAGCCACAGCCGCCGTTGTCTCCACTACAGCTACCAAAGCCAAGCACACGCCCATTAGATTCACACTCAAAAACGAGGACGAGCCGAGTCCGACAAAGAAGCGGCGTTCCGGCAGCCACGAACGCGATGCAGTGGGTCTCGAGAAGCGCAGAGTTCCCATACGTAATGCGGAAGACAGGAAGTACGACAACCTGCCGGCATGTAAGTTTACTATTTATATTATCTATATCAGTTCTCTTACTGACTACCTACTTTTTACTCTTTTTAGTGAGCGCAGTTAGCGTGGATTCAACCGTGCTGAAGGTGAACAAACCCAAAGAGCGCTGCAAGTACCATCCGAACTGCACCAAGCAGTTTTGCGAGTACTACCATCCCACGGCGCCCTGCAAGTCCTTCCCCAATTGCAAGTTTGCGGACAAGTGCATGTACTCGCATCCCAAGTGCAAGTTCGACATGGCCTGCATGAGCATCGACTGCAACTACGCACATGGGGGTCAAAGGGATCTCAGTCATGTGCAGCTGGCGGCGCCGCCTTTATGTGAGTTACTATTGTATTCCTTTTAAGATCCTCTAATAACTCTTTCTTCTGTTCTTATCCCACAGCCTCTCACGTCATCCCGGTGCAGAACTACAAGTCGATATCGGCTCCTGTCACCTCCACGACGGCGACCACGATGTGCAAGTACTACCCCAACTGCTCCAAGTTGGGCTGCACCTTTTATCACCCGAAACCCTGCCGCTTTGGCAAGAACTGCGTAAACAAGCTGGAGTGCATCTTCTACCATCCGGAGATGCAGAGCAAATTCAAGTGGGTGGCATCTTTGGGCTGAGTTGTTGGCCTGCACTGCACTGCGCGATCGAGCGGTATTTAGCAAATGTACTCTGGACTCCCGACTATTCGATACCACTGTCTTTCAATTGTATGATTAGGCAAGCTTGGAGTTATTTCTTTCTACATACACAGAGTTGTATACCTATTTAATTGATTGATTTTTATTTGCATTCATCCTATTGCTTATAATTAATAACTTTTATATTAGTCATTAGCAGCTCTCTCACTGAAATGATAAACAAAACAAAAGTTTGTTGTTCGTGCCGATTTGTTTGCATTCAAACCACAAAGTACACGTCATGCTAAAGTTGACGAATAAATTTAGCAATAGTTGCTACAAATTGGAAAAAGGAAAGATCTATTGTTGCTATTTACGGGGTGGCACTATAAATAAATAGACAATTAATTGGAAAAAAGTCGAAATATTTAATATTTATTATATAGTACAGTCTCTTAAGTTTACGCTTAGAAATTCTAGAGCAAAATATGTCTTTCATTTGATTTACTTAATCAATAGTTTTTCAAGTTCTTGCTGGTTGTCATTGCTTTTCGTCACTATCTTCGTTTTTTTTTTGTTATAAGGCCACATTTACTGATATATATACTCGCGTATATATAGGCATATAGGATTTTCGGTTTTTTGATTTCGTTTTTAGCTCAGCTAATTTAGTTTAAGAGTCGGCAAACAATCCTATTTACAAAAAATACTCGTACAATACGTTTGAAGGGCTTCCCTGCGGAATGTGGAGGGGGTTAATCGGTGTCAGAGCTCAACTTTGTTCGCAGCTTTAGGATTACATATACGAGAAATCGAATACTGAATCTAAACTATCGGAACGTAACTACATAACGACTATAGGGGCGGTACGTCTGTCATCTAAACTACTAGAATAAATAGACAACGGCATTATTAACTAACTAAAGCGTAGGCAGGGTGATCGGGATCGGGATCGTAGGATTGGTAGCCTAACTGCTGCTGCTGCTGTTGCTTTGAGCACCTTAAGATGTAAACTAGGGGCGAACTTAGTACAAAACATTGCGTTACTCCTACAGCTAGGTGTATATGGGCGGATTTAAAAATATCTTTTGTTTTTTGCTTTGCTAATCGTCGTCGCTCGCTGCTCAAAACTAAATAAGTCGCTCTTCCGGCGGTGGCTTCAGCACGTTGTCCATTTCCAGCCTCGGGTTGCAGTACTCCTGGGCGCTGGGGCTGTAGGTGCCCCTGGTGGCCCGCTTGTTCCTGGCCATCACCAGGAAGGTGCCCAGCAGGGCGCCCGCGATGAGGAGGAGCACCACCACCACGGGTATGACAATGATGGCAATGTCTGTCGTCGAGGGTCCATCTTCCTTGGCCGTGATCTGAAATGCCAAGCAGTTTTATGTTAGTTTTAATCCTGATTAATGTGAATCATTCAATTTTTGTCTTATCATAGTATGCCAAGAAATTTCTGATTTGTTTAATTCAATTCTATGTCAAATAAATTGAATGTTTTTCTAATTTATTTCGAATTGAATGAATTAATAAATTTAATGTATTTGCCAGATTTTTCTTTTGTGCTTTCTTTTGAGAACAAATCGTGGAAAATTTTTAACAAATCAATGTTAACTGCATAGTAAATAAAATTCAGGCAGATTTAACCACAAAATTATGGGCCTTTTTTCTTCAAAAGAAATTGTTAGAATTATTTTATGATTCATGCCATTCATTCCTTCAATTCTATTAAACTCGAAATTCAAATTCATTCAATTGTATTAAATTAAAAATTCTAATTAATTCATTTATATAAAACAAAAAATTCAAAATATTTCATTGAATTCTAGTAGGTATCAAGTTAACTCACCGGTGCCGTGCAGTTCTTGCCCGCGAATCCCTCGAGGCACTCGCAGTAGTAGTCCGGTTTGGAGCCACAGGACTCCACGCAGCGACCGCCATTGGCGCAGAGATCCGTGCCGTTGCAGGGATCCGTGAAGTTGCAGTACGCGCCGCAATAGGGCTTCTGGCAGATGCACTGGAAGGAGCCGGGCTTGTTGAAGCACCGACCCAATCCGCCGCAGTAATCGCCATCCAGGTTGCACTCATCGATGTCGTTCTCGCAGCGCAAGCCTTCAAATCCGGTGCCCAGGCAGTCGCACTCATACCTGCCCACCAGATCCTTGCACTGACCTCCGTTCAGGCAGGGATTCGGCTCGCACTCGTTGATGTCCTGCTCGCACAGGCGACCTGTGTAGCCCAGGCTGCACTTGCACATGGGAACCTGAATGGGGTAATATTTATCGTTAAGTAACTGATCTTTATGGGCATTCCATTCCAGGCGACTCACCACTCCAGTGGTTAAACAGAGACCACCATTATCGCAGGGCATCAGTTCACAGAAGGGAATGTCACATAAAGGACCCTCGAAACCGGTTACGCAGGTGCAGGTAAAGTTATTGCCAGTGGAAGCATCTGCAGGAAGAAAAGATTCCTTATTAGTAAACTTTAAAAGGCACAAGTCTAACCACACACAAAAAAAGCTTGTCACCGTAAAATGGATATGGCCATGTAAATTCAGATCAAGCAAAACCCAGATCGTTTTTACATGAAATACCCTTTTCGACTAGGTCAAAATCACCTGGCCTCATATCAAATTAAAATTTATCTTAAATAATGTAAAATCGATCTACGTTTCATATCGATTTTTACATGAAATACCCTTTTCGACCAGGTCAAATTAACCTGGCCTCATATCAAATTAAAATCGATCTACGTTTCATATCTTAAATAGTATAAAATCGAACTTTGCTTTATATCAATTTTACATTATTTAATATCGATTTTACATTATTTAAGATACATTTTAAATAATGTAAAATCATATCATATCATATCGATTTTCTTTTTAGGTGCCCTTATACTTACTAAATCCATTCTGGCAGGTGGATCCATTGCGGCAGGGCTCGTTCTCGCAGGTCATCTGCTTGAGCACATCGCACTGGGGACCCGTGTAGTCCTCGGGACAATCGCACAGATACGCGGCAATCAGATCCGTGCAGTTGCCACCATTGTGGCAGGGCTGATCGGCACACTCGTCGATGTTCTGCTCGCAGTGCTGACCCTCGAATCCTGGCTGGCACTGGCAGTAGAAGGCCGCCACTTGGTTGATGCAGGTTCCGTTGTTCATGCACTCCGTGTTCAGGCATTCGTCAATGTCCGTGCCGCAGTCGTCGCCCTCGAATCCCGCCTGGCAGGTGCAGGCGTACTCATCGGAGGGAGCCTGGCAATATCCGGCATTCTTGCAGTCCGACTGGAAGCACAGGATGCAGCCCTCCTCCGGACGAGTGGTATTCAAGCGGAACTGGGCCTTCAGCTGCACGGAGACGTTTTCGGTGCGCGGATATAGCTCAGCGTTGGAGAAGTAGGGCAGCAGGAGATCACCTACTCTCGCCTCACCCACACAGCCCTTGAACTGGGAGCCCTGCTGGGCGGACAGAGTGGATCCACGTGCTTGCCGGGATTCGGGCATGCCGCCTAGGTAAACCTGAGTGCTGGAGGCAATCAGCGACTGGAAGGCCGCCTGGTCAATGTCCGTGGAGAAGGCTGGCGCCGGATCCACCATCGATTCCCAGCCCTTCCAGCCGCCCTCCAGTTTGCCATTGTGGGCCCTCAAATAGATGCGACTCCATTCGCCATCCGTGTTCTCCTTCTCGAAACGAGCGGACTCGCCAAAGTGCAGCGCACTCAGCTTCCAGGTGATGGTCACTCGTCCTCCGTTCACACCGATCTCAAAGAATCCATCCACATTGTCGATGTAGAGGAGAGTTCCCCCAGCACGAGTGCGGAAGGCTATATCGATGACGGGCTTGAGAATCTGCTTGGGCGGTGCTTCACCCACAATCTCCTCGGACGGAGGCTCCTGGAAGTAGAAGAAGGCCAGCGGAGAGCGCTCCTGACCCGTAAAGGTCGTATTCGTCAGACACTCGTAGCCATCGTCCAGATTTTGGCAAACACTCTGCCCCGGACAGGTGACCAGTTGGCAGAACTCGATCTCCTGGCAATCCTTGCCCTTGTAACCATTGGGGCACTTGCAGCTGTAGTCGTTCCAGGTGTTCCGGCACTCGGCATTGTGGCGGCAGGGATTCTTGCGGCACAGATCATCGGACACCTCGCCGGGCAGGACGGAGGCGCGATCAATGGTCACGGCGCCCAGCGGTTTGGCATTCACTTGGACATCCGTAACATTCAGCGAGTACATCTCCACAATCAGATTGAGCGATCCATTGCTCACCTTCACGTCCTGAATAATGCCCTTGAAGTAGTCCCTGCTGTCGTCCGCCTCCTTGGGCACCGTGGTGTCCTCGATGGGCACTCCTGCTCCTGGCAGTGCCGGCACACCCGGTTCAGTAGTGGCTCCCAGGAGGGACTCACGCGTGGGTGCAGGTCCGCCCAAGTAGAGCACCTGTGCGTCCAGCAGACCCGTCGTCGACAGCGTCTTGCGGAAGTACTCGGTGCCATTGAGCTTGACCTGCACGAGCGTCTGGTTGCGCACCACCTCGATGAGGTGGTTGTAGCCATTGTCCAGCTTCTGGCCACCGACGGTGTAGGCCTCCGGAGTGCCGCTGAACTGCATCTTCACCAGGAGCTCACCGCCATGCAGTTTGGCCGCCACATACGAGTCGCCAATATCTGTGAGAATAGGATAAAAGGTTTAATAACTAACTTACAAAAAAATATAAATAAAATATATAAATTACTAAATTAATATTGAACCTTAAACAATTTAAATGTAGTCGAACTTCACCACTTTTTCTAATAGTCTAATAAGTATCTAGGCTTTGGTTAAATAACTTACAAAAAAATAGATATAATATACATAAATTAATAAATTAATATTTTACCTTAAACATTTTAAACGTAGTTGAACTTTACAACTTTTTGTAATAGTCTATGTTTTGGTTTAATCACTTACTTACAAAAAATTATATTTATTTAACAACTTAAATGTAGTCGAACTTCACCACTTTTTTTAATAGTCTAGTATCTAGGCTTTGGTTTAATAACTTACTCACAAAAAAATATAAATAATATGCATAAATTAATATTGAACCCTAAACAATTTAGATGTAGTTGGACTTCATCAGTTTTTCTATTAAGTATTATAAGCACTTTATCTTTCTTATAAGATAAAAATCTTTCCTATTTAAACTCACTTTTGGTGGGTGCCTTTCTTGGATCGGTGCCCAAGTAGAAGACCTGACCGGTTGGCTCGCGGGTTCGGATGAACATGGAGATGTCCAGGATAGAGCGAATGGCGCGCCTGGCCACATCCGTTGTCTCCACAATCACAGCCGAGTGGGTGGTGTTCTCGTGGCCAAAGGTGGCAGCAGTCATATCTAAAAATTAAGTAAAGGTGGTTAAATCAGGGGAACCATTAGATTATACTCCAAACTGCTTACTATGCTGACAGGTGTGCCCGAAGAAGGGTCTGGGACAGTGGCAGGCGAAGGTGTGCCAGAGATCCGTGCACTCGCCATTCGAATGGCAGGGATTCGGTTTGCATTGCTCCGTGCGTGGACATCCGCTCTGGACATTCTCCAGTTTGGTATAGCTGACATTGGCACTCTGTTCATCGGGGAAGATCCATTTCCCATTGACCATGATGTCTTGCATGCAACCCACGAAAGCCGACGGCTGATGGGTGAGGTGGCGCAGATAGGACTTCAGATTGGGAATGGTGCCGCCCAGATAGGTTCGCGGGAACGAGGGTTGACTGTTGTTGGCCGTTTCGTAGGAGCCCACCGGAAAGATGGCCTGCTCATCGTTGGCCGAGAGCACCAAATGCGAAGTGTTGATGGCCACAAACACCTTGTGCCAGTTGCTATCGTTCAGCTTCGATCCAATAAAGACACCCTCCCACTTGTTTAGTAGCGAGGAGTGGAGATTCAGTCGTCCGTTAATCAGCTCCAGGATATAACTAACTGGCTCATTCTTCTCGCCCGTCGTTCCAAAGGCCAGAACTCCATTTGGCAGAGTGGTCCGGAATTGCAGATTGATGTCGTAGCCCTCCTCGCGTTCCGTGGTCACCGAAATCAGACTGGTGGCCACCATAGAAAGTGTGGTGGTCTTCTCGCATTTATCACCCTGGAAACCGTTCTCACAGGTGCAGTTGTACTCGTGTTTCACCTCGTTGACCAAGTAGGGCAGGCAGGCGCCGCCATTTAAACAGGGCTATAAAGATTATTATTATTATTAAAGATTAAAAATAATTATAAATATAACATACATTCTTTTCACAACCCTTGAGGAGCACAGAACAGTTCTTGCCACCATAGTTGGCATCACAGTCGCAGTCGTAGTCGTCTATTTGGTCATAGCAAGTTCCCCGCTGGCAAGGATTATAGCGATCGCACTCGTCTATGTTGATCTCGCAGTGGGTTCCCTCGAATCCAGGTTCGCATTCGCAGGTGTAGGTGCCAATCTATAGAGGAAAAAAAGATTAAATATCATAGTTCCCAAGTGGATTATCCCCTTTACTTACCCCATCATTACAGCTTCCATGTTTGCTGCAGGGATTACTATCGCATTCGTTTATGTTGATCTCACAGTTTTTGCCTATAATGCCCGGCACACAAACGCATTCGTAGCTAAGGATTGCATATGATTAGTTCTATATTCGGGTTGGAATTTATTCTCTATAGAGACTCACCCGCTGGCATTCTCAAAGCTGAAGGACTGGCTAAACACCTTTGGGAGATCTGTGATTCGACTCATCTGGTATAAAGTCATATTGGACCTCTCCAGGCAATTTCCATTATACTGACAGGGATTGCTCTCGCACTCGTTGATGTCCTGCTCACAGTTCTTTCCCTTGTAGCCCTTATGGCAATCGCAGAAGTAATCCTTCACCTTGTCCAGGCACTTGGCACCATTCGTGCAGGGATTCGAGAGGCATTCGTCGATGTTCAGCTCACAATTCTCGCCCTCGTAGCCGGTGCCAGCGCAATCGCACCGGAAGCCACCCAACTGGTCGATGCACTGGCCTCCATTCAGGCAGGGATCGCCCACACAGTCATCGATGTCGATGTCACAGATGCGACCCGTCATTCCCGGGATGCAGTTGCAGGTGAAGTTGTTGATCCTGTCGATGCAGGTGGAGCCATTCGAGCAGGGATTACTGCCGCACTCATCGATGTCCACTTCGCAGTTCTCGCCCTCGTAACCCGGCTGGCAAACGCATTCGTAGGCATTGATCTGGGTGGAAATGAAAGTTCAAGTTAATTATAAAATTATATTTTATTAGGTAGTAATAGCTGTGAATTTATTAAGAATTTATAAGGGTTGATAAAAGGTATCCCTCAAGAATTATACATATGTCGAAGCAATTATATAGGCATTTTACAAAGATTTTTTGTGCTAACTTAAGGGAATCTATTTAATACGAGGAAAATTGCTATTTAATATTTTTTACGAGCGATATTATATAAATATATATTATTCATGGTAACATTTAATATCTCGCTTATAGAGATAGATCTGGATATACTGGCAAACAGACAACCATCACTCACTTGTCTCAATATCCGATGCTTTCCGAATTTAAAGAAAAACAACTAATTACACTTTAGTAACAGACAAAAGTTCAATGCACCAAAAAGGCAGTTTCGGATTGGGAAGTCCGACTGCCCTCCACCTACCTTGTTGTGGCACGTGGCTCCGTTGAGACAGGGGAAGCTGAGGCACTCGTCCACATCCGAATCGCAGTGGACGCCAGTGAATCCTGGGGTGCAATAGCACTTGTACGATCCCTTCTCGTTTTTGCAGATCCCATTGCCGCAGATCTTCGGATGCAGGGTGCATTCGTCGACGTCGTTGCCGCAGGTCCTTCCAGTCCATCCTCGCGTGCACTTGCACTCGTAATCTCCATTTGGTAAATCCACACATTCGCCTCCATTTTGGCAGGGTTGGGTGGCGCACTGATTGCACACCTTGTTCTCGGGACAGAGGCACTGATTCTGGACACATACCATCGGTTCCTGGCAATTCAGTGGCGAGCAGCTCTCCGCCTTCTCGCAACGATCGCCGGAGTAGCCGACGGCACAGTAGCAATGGGTTCCGTTCATGGAGCAGGTGCCTCCGTTCAGACACTTGCCATTGGTGGCATTGCAGTTGATGGGGGTCAGGGCCAAGGCAGACGCTCCATCGCCCGTGCTCGTTTGACAGTTGTAACCTGGGAGTATTTAAAATATTAAATTGTTTTTATTTTTAAAAAATATTTATTTCAATATTTTAAAGATTTTAAAGATTATTTCAAGTGTTTACCAAATATCAAATGTTCAACTATAACTACTTTTCTACATATTTACAGTTAGTTTATCTGGGGTTGCACTAAAAGTTTATACAATACGTTAGATTTCAACTAGAGTCCTGTTAAATTAGATATTATAACAGATATATCTACTAGAAAGTCTCATTATATTTTTAATTATTTTAGTCTGGTAATCTAGTAGTACAATTAACCAACGATTAATAAGTACACATAAATAAATTTCTGGTTATATTAAAACTATAAAATTTTTTAAAGACCATAAAGGGTTTAAGGTTCTTTTTAAAAAAAGATAGATTACCATATCTTAAATTTCTTGCATCTGTGTATATCTTAATAAATTCAAGATTCTGGTCTCAACCAAAAAAAGATAAGAGCAGACTAAATAAAATTATCTAGATTTTTTGGCTTATGACCTAATTTTCTCATACAAAATTAAAGAGTTCTGATTTTGGTTCTGTGTCACAAACAGGCAATTCTATATTTTTAAAAAGGCTTTCTCGCAGGACCCTAGTCTCAATCAATATCAATTTAAATCCAACAACCTCGAGGGCCATTAACCGCATGCAAATGAAACGCATTCAAGTGGATCTCATCGTCATCGTCATCATCATTGGCATGCACACTTTTAGGACAACCCCGATATGTAAGCCAAACCTGTGTATCCACTAGCACAAGTACAGGTATAATTGCCACTATTTCCCAGGCAGGTGCCACCGTTCAAGCAGTTTTCTTGGGGACATGCATTCAGGGAGGCCGAGCGTTGGGTGTTTGGTGATTGAAGTGGTCGCTTGCTACTCGTGGTTGTTGCCACCGTTGTTCTGGCCGTTGTTATTGGTATCTTGGTTGTTGTGTTCGTTGTTGTTGTTAGGGTGTTGGGATTACTAGCTGGGATAGGGACTATTGCTGTGGTTCTGGTCGTTGTTGTTGGCTCTTGTTCTGGTGTCGGTGTGGTTGTTGTTGGCAGGCAATGACCAATGGGTCCTACGTTTTATAGCCCATTAGATATAATACAAGATTGAGGCATTAGGTTATAGCGTTTAAATAGGGTTTATATATACAGTTAGTGTGGTAATGGTATTATCAAGCAGATGGAACCTTCTCTACACTTTCCACCTACTTAATTTTAGCTCACAACGCTTGCGTTTGAGCCACTCGGGCGAAATGTAGCGCTTCTTCTTTTCACTCGGACACAGCGTCGAGTCGAGAATGTCCAGCTCGAGCGGAGTTAGCGGCTCCAAATCGAAAGCTTATATGTCCCAGTTATTTTTTAAAATATTAATTAAAAGAAACCAAGACCATTAAACCCAAAGTAAGCGACATGCTAGGCCCATGCAATGAAATCCCTTAACCGAAAAGTATAGGAAACTGGAAACTGAAACTCACCCGATGAGCCTGGCTTACAAACGCACTTGCCGCCAACACACTCCGAATCGATGGGACACTGCTGGGCGCAACTGGGTGCAATTTGGCACAGTTCTCCTGTAAATTCCGGCGGACAGACGCACTGAAAACCAATGGCCTTGTCCAGGCAGGTGCCCCCATTGAGACACTGCTGCGTCTGGCAGGTCATGGGTCGATCGCAAATCTCACCGCCCCAGCCATCCAGACACTGGCAGGTGTACCAGCCGTAGGTATCGAAGCAGCGGCCGCCATTCAGACAGGGATTCTTGTCGCACTCATCCACATTCGTCTGGCAGAAGGCGCCCGAGTAGCCGGTGCCACTGCAATCGCAGCTGAATCCATTGATCCTATCGATGCAGCTACCGTTGTTCTGGCAGGGCTGAGAGGCACACTCATCCGTGTCCACCTCGCACCTGGCTCCGGCATATCCCTTGGGACACTCGCAGGCCAGAGCTCCACTGCCGCCGAGAACCACGCAGGCTCCGTTGTTCAGGCAGGGATTCGTTTGGCAAAGGGGATGGATATTAACCTCCGTCTCGCAGTGCTGACCACTGTGGTTGGGATCACAGAAGCACTGGTAATCCCCGCGGGAGTTCTCCAGGCAGGAGCCTCCATTCTCACAGGGATTCTTGGCACAGGGCGAACCATTGTCCTTCTGGCAATTCTTTCCCGAGTAACGGGCCGTGCAGCGACACTCGTATCCCTCGGGACTGGATGAACAGGTTCCATGGCCCATGCAGGGATCGTTTAGGCAGAAGTTATCCGGCAGTCGGGTGAACAGGTCGTGATCGCTGCAGGGACCTGGAGTCAGAGGACAGACCCCAAAGACCACATTCTGCACCGTGGAGTTGTTTACAAACTGGAGACCAGGTCCATCCAGGAGACAACCCGAGAAGGAGTTGCCCAGTATTAGGATGGCGTCCTTGTAGCCAATGTCCTGGTTTGTCAGGAACTGACTGTTGTACGTGGAGTTGGCTGGGAAGAAAAATAAGGAAAAAAATATTAATATAAATTAAAATAAATAAATATAAATTTCAATATATTAAATATTTTGCAAGTCTTTAAAAACCTCTATTACGTTTTTAATATAATAATTGTTATTTAATAATTAAGTAATAAATAGTAATAAAACCTCTATTACTTTTCTTAATATCCATTTGTTGCCTGAAGCACGTTTTAATAAATTTTATTTATTAATTAAGTCATAAATAGCGATTTAATAAGTGCCACTTTAGGATCAGAACTCTAAGATCAAAAACAGCTTTTTTATATTTATGGTATTTTTTCTCTTATTATTTCCTTGCATAATTCACGATCTCTCTATTTAAGCTTTTTTTGAATCCTCAGATTTTCTGTCTTAGCTCTTAATTCATTTTAAATTTATTCTTTTGGGGCTGACTTCTTTTGTTACCGTTAGATAAATACTAATGACGTTAATCCTATTGTTATGCCTTCTGCTTTAAGCCCACTTTAAAAACAGATTAAGGTATTATAACAGGCATACTGTATTCTGCATTTGTCTTTTGGTAATTACATTATTTGGCTCTTGAAAATTAAAACTTTTAATCTATTTTAAGCCCATTTTCCTTATTTTTAAGCTCTTCGCACGTACTCTTTTCTATTGTTTAATTGATTTTTCGAATGAGTTCATCATTATCCATTTCCGATTTCCCTTTCCATTTACCGAACACAATTGCATTGCTTAACACTCGTGATGTGATTCACTTCTATGTGCTTTGCCGCATTTCACGTTTGTCCACGATTGACCCCATTGAGTGGGTTCTATTCTAGGGGTTTCCCCATTCCTCTATAAGTCCAATTGGGGACATTTGGGTAAAGGGGAATCTAGAATGTAGATGGCAACTCACCAAATATGCTTGCCGCACGATCCACATGCAGGTAGAGATTTCCGTACTCGTACTTGAACTGCAGCGTGTGCCAGCGGTTGTCCAGCAGTTGGTAGGGCAGCTTGACATCCAGCCGGTTGTTCGGCCCATGGACCGCCGGTCCCGCCAGGGATATTTGCAGAAAGTCGTTGAGCACTGAGATTACGATGGAGTTCTTGTTGTACTGCTGGGCGAGGATTTCGCCGCCGCGGCACGACCGGAAACTAATCGCCGAGTGGTCCCAAATGGGCATCGGCGTGGTCAGGCGCAGGTAAGTGGAGCCATTAAAGTACGCCTCCTTCGTCGGCACCGCCACAGAGGCGACATCTGCGGGAGAAGATCAAGATTGCCAGGGTTAGTGGGGATTAAGACTTGCACTTGAAGAAAATGGTATAGGAAATTCTAAAGGAAAATGTTTATAAAATAAAAATGTTAAATAAAAACAAATATCTAGTAAAAAGTTGATATATTTTAAGGGGTTTTTCAAACAAAACACATAGGAAACTTAATTAAAAATACTCAATCAATCCTACAAAATTTTTTTTTTCACATTTCCTATAAATTACTACTGCTATAAGAAAATATTTTTTATAAAACCTAAAAAGATATTCAAAGAAAACCGGAAACTTGAAGTAATCCAAATCCAGTGTAATTTTTCGCTGAATGCAACTTGACTGACGGGTGAAATGGATGAAATAAAAGCATGACAAGGCCAGGTCGGTTCAGTTCGGGCCAAGTCGGGCTCTCATTTAACTAATCGCATTTCATTCGCATTTGGCCAACGCATTTGTAACCGCAGTAGACGACTTCCTCATTTCGCGTATTTGGCACACGGCAAATGGCCAATTGGTTTACTTTGGCTTACATTTTCATTTCACATTTTCCCAGTGCTGTTTAGTTCAGCATTTTCGCCGCATTGCTCTCCACCACTGCTTGGCTTTAAGAAAGTGTTTTGTCTTTCGAGTAGCATTGACCAAATTAGACGAGAGTTGCCATGGCCCGGCACATGCCACTTAAATGGTAATCAGTTAAAAGGCCCCCATCTCTCCTCAACTTTCATTTGCGCTGATCACCAAAGCGCAGAATCAATTCCCGTAGAAAAAAGCAGCAGCAGACCAGAAGACTCCATAACTTTTCTTCAACATTTTCAAAACAAAAACGAAACGATAGCAGAGCAAAGTTAACAAGCTTTCTTGGATTGAGTGCACAAGGCGTTAAGATTTGCAAAAAAATAAACCGACTTGCATGTTCATAAGCTTGTTTTCATCAATAGTCTACAGATCACACGAAAAAACCAAACGAAAATCTTAAAACGGAAAGAAAGCGGCGCAGGAAAAAGTTATTAGCGAAAGGAAATGGGAACAAAAAACAGGGAAACTTTGCGTTTTTTAAATAAATCCAATATATAAACAATATAAGCGGTAATTAGAAAATTATATAAAATCAGGAAGGTAACTTGGAGATTAAACATGTTTATTTATAGACTTGTTTAAGACTCTATACTGTTTTTTAAGATACTTTTTAACATTTAACAATTAATACAATTATATTCCTATTTTCCTTGCTCATTTTCGAATTTTAAACCATCTAAAAGACCATTGTTATTTCAATGGCATTGTCCAAGTTAAGGTTTATTACCAAAAACAAAATGTTCGTAGCTTTTTAACTCGTCAATAGAGTTGGCACATTTGTACCTATTTTTGCACTTCCCCCCACAGAGAGGCGATCATTTTAGCACCTCCTAACTCCGGTGGTCCGCTGTGCCCTTTGGGCTGCCCTGACCCATGGCTGCCGAGGGCTTAGAAAGCGCTTGGGGGACCTCGACGGAACCCGAACGATGTTAAAACAACGGACAACAAAATACAATACTTTATGAGGCCATCGATTTTGCCGCCTCTTTTTACGCGGTCTTCTCAAACATTTTATTTCACGTATTTAAAGGCGATTTGCTATTTGCATTGACAGTACGGTACAAGTATTGTTGTCATTTCTGTGATTATGTGTGCCAGGTGAGAAAGGGGAGTGCCAAGGGGGCAGCCAAGGTGTGTAGTCAGTGAGCAAGTAAATAAGTCGCCAGCAAAGTAGCTCATAATTATATTATACTCACGTACGAAACTATGCAGAAAAGTATTCAAAAGTTAAACGGCAAAAATGCTATAAAAATATCACACACGTACACGGAGAAAAACGTTTGAAATATGCTTGATTTTCCAAGGAAAAAGTTCTAAAAATACCACAGGTATTATTATTTGGTTTAGAAAATATTAAAAAATATTTTTAATATTATTATTTTAGATCTTTTGCACTACCATATTCAAACACCTATAGAACCTGAATTATTGGTTTCAATTATGGCTTGCCATGCGCTTTTATATAATCTCAGCATGGACTTTCAAGATTGGCCGTAAGCAAACCGAACGGAAATTTCATAATCATAACCACCGGCAAGAATTCTATTTCTCTCTTTTATGTATTTTTTCCGTTCGTTCGTGTTTCTGTTTATTATTTTTATTTCAGTCATGAATGACTCGACTTTGGCTTCGAACTGGAACTGCAAAACTCTGGTTTAAATCTCCTCCAGAGAGCGGGAGAATTCTTTTTAGCGGTGCCATAAAAGAAACAGTTTAATAGTTTCTTTCGTCTTTTGTCAAAAGCGAGCGTTCTGCTGGAAATGCTTCTTAAGCTTTTAATGATGTCTCGCATGGAGTTTTTCGGGGACAAAGATTGTTTTGTGCCGGTTCTTAGGCAGGGGCGTGGCCAATGGCCTAGACCTCAGATAATCTCTAAAGCATTATTGTGACAGCTTTGGGACTCTAATCTATTTTGGGACATTTAAGCGTTATGGAAATTTCTATTGTACCAACCTGATCGTCTGACATAATATAAATGAATGGTGTTACTGTAAAAGTAATTTTGTTACTTTTATAGTTCCTTTGACTATCCCATATTTGGTTACTAAATATTCAAAGTAAATAATTAAATAGTAATTCACTTAATTTTTGCTAAATAATTTCACAGCTTACCCTTCTTTTTAAATGGAAAGCTAATTATCTTTTTTGAAGGCGCTTCCTCAAAAATGTTAAGCCCCTATACTTTGGTAAATCTTCCAATTTAAAAGAGAAAACGCTCTGGATCTTCAATCCATCGCCGAGATAATCACTCATTTTAAGTTCCACCATTTCAGATTTCCCATGTTATTTACCGTTGGTAAGAAAAAAGTGATTTATGCAAAAGCAGTGCGCGAAATACGCGCAAAAAAGGGGGAAACGATTAAGTAAGTACAACCCCATTGGAAATTCCTGTCCCGCCCACACTCACACGTCAAGTGGGCCAAAACGAGAGGCTCTCTCTCTTTAGTAGACCCAGTTAACGAAAACATCCAACTCATTGCAATTGCAACACTCGCCTGCAGTGTAAAACACAACATAAGTAGATGTATGCAAATTGGCTCAGCTCGCTTTGCTATTCGGTTTTACCTCTGGCTTTGCCGTGCATTTTCCACTTCGAATTTTGCACTGCATTCTGTTGGTATGATTAATCAGCGTCGGCATATGCAAAAAAAAAACGCAACACCAAGTGCAATACCAACGTGGAGTGTCTACGCACAGCTGCGGTCAGCATATTAGCCACGAAAATACAATTACAAAGATGACAAAAAAATCCGTAAGTTAGAAAACATTTTTCCTATAAACGATAAGTGAATATTAATTATTTATATTTAGGAATCAGAAATCAATTTTTTATTTTATTAGGTTCAATGATCTCAAATATAGAAGCCGTATAACATTCTTAATTAAACCCTGAACCACGATTGTTATTATTTGCATGCCAGCTGTGTTTACTGTTCATCGTTAACCAATGTCACCATTCATAAAATTGTAACACATGAGAATAAAGCGCGATTCATTCGAATCTTTTTTGTTTTTTTCCCATATGGTTTGGTAAGTAGAGCTCTTTTTGGTTGCTGCACTTTTAGTGTGCTTTCCCGATCCATCACCTTCCCCTTTTCACTGAGGTCCAACCCTTATCCCAAGTTGCAGGTCCGATGTTTGGCCACAACAAAACAGGTTGCACGTTGCCAACTTGGCTAACTTGGACGGTTGCCGAGGATTGTTTACTACCTTTTTTGTGTTCTTCTCCACACCGAACAAAAATTTAAATAGAAATTTCACTTAATATTATTCAGTTGACTTGGAATCTTATATTTTAATGCCAAAAATATATTATTTCAACAGAGAAAACTTTAAAATATTTATAAATAAATAAATATATATTTTTTTTCCTGTGCAACTATTCTTTTTTGTTGTTGATGCGGGCAACTCTCTGTTTTTGGTCATACTTCAATTGTTTTAAGTCAGTTTAGAGTGTACAATGTACATGTACATATATGTTGCCTCACTCGCCAACCCACACAAAAACACGTTAGTATTGTTGAATTTAATTTTTGCTCTAAATACTTTTTACTTTTTCATTGCTTTTGTGTAACAAAACGCCCACGAAAAATTTCATTTTGCACTCAATTGTTTTCTTTTTTTTTTGCTTATCGGATGTTCAGAAGTTGCATAAATTACTTTTGACCGATTTTACTTTTTTCCATTTCTGTATTTAATTTGTTTTGCTGTAGCAACAACAATAACAATATTTTATTTTGTCTAATTAAATTCGAAATTTTTAATTGCACTTTAATTGTTGCGTTTTCGTTTTCAGTTTTCGGTGTCTGTTCGTTTTTCTCTATTAATGGAAAAGTGAAAACGTGTCGCGATTAAAATTTAATTATAGCTTGTTGATAATGCGATTATCGAAAGGGCTTAATTGCACTCGATGCTCAATGAACATGAGAGCTAGAGATATATGATATATGGGTAAATGATCATGGGGAAGATCTTGAACCAAGATTAGAGGGCAACGTTATGAAAACGGGTTTTTGATGAGGTATTTACTATTGTTGTTAAGTTTTCCGCGTTTGTTATCTGAACTTAGTTGACTGGAGGAAATTAAAAATGTTTGAACTTATTTAAAGCAGGAATGGTTATTTAATCACTGAGCACCAAATATGGATAATAATTATTGAGTTCCGCTATGAATATTTATATTTCTTTGATGGAATAGTTTAGGTGGGTTTTTGAGAAAATAATTAGCCTCAAAAAGCGTTGTATAAATTTATTTATTCAGATATTATAGTAAGATATTATAGTAGCTCCGCCCCATAGGTTATACCAACACTTCTCAGGTGGTTAGATCCCTGTTGAAAATGATTTCTTTGTTGTGCTCCCTGAAGGCAATGCGTTTCTTCCCAAGATTAGTTAGTTCCCATGTCCATCGCTGCATTCTATAACTTACACACTTTCAGCTCTTTCATGTCTGACTGCACTTTAAACCCGATGAATACTCTGCTTTGAACGATCATTTGTTCCAACACCTTGTTGAGGGGAAGAAAGAATCAAACGAAACTGAGATACAAATGCGTTCCCACACTAATTTACGCTTTTGCTTCCAAGAATTGTGGTGAGGAAATATTTTTAAATATTTAAATAAAACCTCTTTCTATTATACAATGCGGTAACAATACATGCATGCGGTCAGAAGCTAATTAGTTTTCATAAATAAACGTTTCCCATGAAAGCTGCAGATTAAGAGGCACAAAAAAATAAACCCGCACCCACTAAAAAATTCGAGTGCGTCAACATCCAACGGTTTCGCTCAGGTTGCTCTCATGAAATTGTGCACGAAAAGAAAAAGAAGCTAATAAAATTAAATTGGCACGAACTCCGTATAAATAATAGCAATGATATCTAAGCCACATTTCAAGGTTTGATATCAGTGTGAAAATGAGTGTGAAAAGTTTGAAGAAAACGCTATAAAAATTACAATGAAAAGTGCTTAAAGTGAGTTTATCATATTTTTAGATATTTAATCAAATTAAAGGAATTCAGGCCATTGACAATTTTATAATAAAAACTCGAAGATTTCTGTAAAGAATTCAGGATTCTAATCACTTGACTATTTTCCACCGTGTGAATCTGTCTTCAGGTACAAACAGCTAGCGTTTATTCATTAATATCTTGGTTCTGGGAACAGGCAACTCTCAAGTGAGAAGACTCCCAAATATAAATGCTTAGAATGGAGCACACTCAAAATTAGAGTCGCTCTTTCTCTCCCCCGCTTGTTTGGCGCCGTTGGTTTTTTTTATTTTTTAAGCCGCTTCTGCGCAGGCGCGCCTGGGAACCAGTTTTGTGGCAGTCAGTGTTGTTGTTCCGCCGCTTTCTGTGTGTTGCCAACAAGGCGGCCCTTGTACAAATTCTGTGGGCCTGGAAAAAGGGGCGGCCCAGACCAGTTCACAAACTGGCACAAAGCAATGAACTGTTGAATAAAACAAAACCGAAAACACGCCTGAGAATCTGTTCCGGTGCGTTCCGTCCCCAAAGAGCAGCAGCACCACCACCATCATCAGAACGAACCTCTGGTACCCAAAGAACCTCGAGAACCCACAGCCTGAGCAAACACAGACTTTGGGAGAATAAACGCAGTATGTGGGCGTTGCACTATGGAAAGGTTCTTAAGGCAAATTAAGGGCTATGAGTAATTATGAAAATATTTACGGAATCATTTCAGGAAGTGACCATGCACTTTCAGGAGGTTGTTTAATATACAGTAGGATAAACTTGTAGAACCTCAGTAAATTAAATTCAAAATAGAGAAATCCAGATAGTTCATTTAATTTTCAGATTTATTGCGACTAACAACATCCTATTAATATAGACACAAATAAAAAGTAAAACCACGCATTCTGACTCCATTAATTGCTTTTATAAACCATTCGTTCCGCAATTTCCCACCTCAATTACCAAACAATTTGTGTCCGATCGCAGTGCGTTACAGCCCATGGTATTCGTTGTTGGTGTGACTCAATGCTAACAATGGATTTTGTTGTTGCTGGCAGTACGCTGCGTATGCAAATAGCGACAGATAAAACAGCACTACGTGATCACCCCGATAAAGACAATCCAACAGACAGCATTGAACAACGCCCACAAATTTTAAACATTTGTTTGCATCGAAATTTTTTCTGAAACAATATCAAGTAAAAGCGAAAGCTGCAATGTCTTTTCAGTTTGATATTTTTTCTCCCTCATTTTCTCATATCTGCGGTTTTTTCGTACATCGGTAAATTCCCAAGGTGGCTGGCTAATCGATGCAGTCGCTGAAAACGTGCAACGTTGCAACTAGAAACTAGAAAGAACCATGCAGTAGGCTAGACTTAAAAGCACCCTATTAAGGTTTTTTTTAAAGATTTTCGTTGGTCTAGTCAAAAATGTAATATGTCTTTATTAAAGGAGTCTACATCCCAAATGTTCTGGTTTTAGCTCTAAAAGGTCCTGAGATTTAGGGCCTTGAATTTCCCTGCAACACCCATTACCACCTCTCCCATTGTTTCTCTTCCCCTAAAGTAATGGGTAGTAAAGCAAAGCACCTAACCTTTAGGGACTGGGGAAAATCAGTTCCTTTTTAGTTATACTCTGGCTATTTTTATAGAGCTGGCTAACGACTTGCACTAATGGCCAACGTCAGGCAATGGTCGCGGCCGGTTGCGTAGGCCCACGGCCCATGTCACGGCCGATTGCACTTTAACACTTGACCAGGCCGAAACACACCGGACACCGGAGAACGCGGGTGTGTCCCGCACACAATTTCCATTCTCGATTTCCATCTACGTGCTGGTAGATTTCCATAAACTCGCGGGGTCACGTGTTGTTATCGTTAACGCAATGCAGGTAGTTTTGGTTCATTTTTCGTGTTTTCCCTCCACTTTTCCTGCTTGCAGAGTACCTGCGCCGCGATTTTTCCCCTGAAAATGATGGATTATATCTGTTTAGGGCGGAAATTCAAAGGAAAGCCAGACTGAAACCACTCTCGAGGTGAAGATGACGCTGATGATCGTCGTCTCGGTCGGTGTCTGGATTTTATGATGGAAGCTGCTATAAACCAGTTGCTGTGATGCCTTTCAGGGATTTCCCAATACAGAGATGGAAAACATTTCGTTGTCTCTCTCTTTCACTTGTGGGTTTTCCATGGCAATCATAAACCAAAGTCATTTGATAAATTCAACAATAAAGATAGAAGTCATTTATTATTTCTCAGTAGACTATAATATTTCTTCTAAAGATAAATTTCTGGTTTTAATATAAGCCCGTTCAACATACCCTGATCTTATTCATCAGTCAAAAATCTGGCTTTTACACAAGTTCAAAGAAAATAGTTTTTCTTTATAAAAGGAAATCCCCAAAAACTTTGAATGTGTATAAGAATTCTGAATTTTATGATGGAAGCTGCTGTAAAAACCAGTTTCTTAGATGCATATCAGGGTTTTTTCCTTCTCTAAGATGGAAAACCTTTCTCTTTACCTGCATTTTATGGGTTATCCACATCATTCATAACAATACAATTTTAAACCAATCTCAGAACAAAGAATATAAGCCAATTATTAACGTGGAACAATTGATCTCTTTTGTTAGGAAACTACAAATTCTTTATTTTCACCTGGAAGCTGGTGAAGAACTGGTTTCCGAAGGGCTTTCCCTGCTTGTACTCGGAAAACTCTTTCTCTATCTCTGGCCTCCTTTTGTGTGTGTTTTTCTTTATCAACCTATCAACGGAATTGCGGTATTGCTGACGTTGAGCTGGCCGCGCTTTTGCAACTGTTGTACTTCACTTTCCGGCCAAAAGATAAGATTGCGAGTCACAACAGGCGGATGGTTGGCCGGCTGTAGGGTTGGAACTCGGATTGTAAATAAATAAACCAAATTTTTGAGGTCGTTTTTGCACAATCCCATGGAAAAAAGGGGGCAGACAATGCTAAGGCAGCAACACAGTTGAGCCTCGGACAATATGTAACAGATAATTACACATAATGAGTCAGCAAGAGTTGTGAATCAATTATTGTGATCATTATGCGATAGGTCTCACAGATTGCAAAGTTGTGATATCGTTGAAAACACTTTGAAAATGCAGACAAATAAGCTTTTATTACCGAAAAATCATACCTTAATCAAGAAGTGCATAAATAGTAAGCTGTTATGTTTCCGGGTTTATCAATGGAAATTGCGTATACATTTTTAAAATAAATCGAATACAAAATATGGGTTCATTTTTTAGAAATATTTAGTCAAACAACTCTATTAACTTCAATTTAATCAATTACCTTTAACTAAAAAGTATAATTTCCATTTAACTAAATTTAAAATAGTACGTAATCGACGCTAATACCTTTCTATGCATTCCTATTGTTTAAAAGATAACACCAAGCACACAATAATCAAAAGTCAGAAATGAGTGGATAATTAACACAGTCAAACTTCAGGTATGCCAGCTTCATGAGTCACTTCTTGAAGGAAACCCGTTGAACGAGTTTTTCGGATGCCCGAAATCAATGGAAATGGAAATTCCTCGTACCCAACATGACTTTTCCTTTGGCCACATCCCCAATACACAAATGCTCCCACCCATACACATGTGACCTGTTGCTCTTGTTTCTGATTATGAGCTTTTGAAACATCAGCAAATGTGATTGTTCAGACTGAAGAATGCATGTGGCTCAGCAAATAACCAATTTACAGTCGTTCTTCTTTAAGACAGACTTATCTAACAAACGTATCTCAAAAGGATGAGCAATTGAGGTGAAATATTATTAAAAATTCAGTTCTACAGACTTAAATGTGTTTAAGGTTCTATAGATTTCGTTGGCATATTATATTCAAGTTTTAAATTTTTGTAACTTAGAAAAACCCTACACATTTAAGCTAAGCTTAAAAAAAAGTGGTTTTCTCAACCTTAAGCTCTTAAAATTCTAAATAGAAAACTTAAACTAAAGTGACTGAAAATGCTTAGCTAGCTTTTTTTCGAATCAAAGTTCAATGCGTGGGAGTTTTACTGTAATCTAAGTAGCTATTGTCTCTCCTTGCGGAGCAGAATGTCCTTGGTTCTGCCTTCGCATCTCTCTCCATAGCTCCCTCTCTCTCTCTCGGTTCTCTCACCTGTTGCTAAGTAAATAAGTATGAAGAGCGGTATCCATTGAGGCGACGAATAAACTGAAATGGCGCGCTTGAGCAAATGCGACGTAATTTGAGCTGCGCTTTTCGTGCGGTCTCGACTTCTAGCTGTTGTTGTTGTTTCTGCTGACGCCGCTGTTGTTGTTGCTGCTGCTGCTGTTGCTTTTGTTGTTGTTAGCCGCTGTTGTTGTTGCTGCTGTGGCGGTGACGCATTCGCGATTATAGCCATGATCGCTGATTTGTTGGCTCAACTCGTGTTTTCGTATTGGAAAGGGTTTCGTTCGGCGTTTGATTTTAACTATATTTTTGCTATTGTTGTTAATTGCATTCTCCCTTTTCTCTCTCCTTTTCTTTTCTGCTCCACACACACACACACTCGCGCGTGCAATGGGCACTTGGCTTAGAACAGGTTTTTTTTTAAGTTTTATTTCTCTTTTCGCTAGTTGTATTATTTGCACACTTTCGCACGCGACACTTTCTAGCCTGAATTTGAATATTGAGCACAGAGATTCCGCTTTGAGCCAACTAATTTGCCATTTCTTCCCAGGCCACGATTCTAAATCACGCTCTCTCGCACAAAAACACACACACACTCGCGCGCGGGCTCAGAAGACCTGGCTTAAAAGAGAGGTGTGCTGTTGTTGTTGTTGTTGCTGCCCTTTTGAACTGCAAGCAGCACGCACACACGCGCGCGCACAGACATTGGCCAAAACGGGGGGAAAAAACGTTTCGAACGGGAGCGACCAAAAAAACACGTCCGACCAGCAAGATAAAGTTTCGACCGTTTGAATCGCGGTTTTCCGTTTCGCCCGTTTATATATAGGCTAGTGTGACCAGTGGTTTCGGTATTTTTCTTGGCTTTGGCGTTTTTCTTCGACGCGGTCATACCAATTCCTCACGCAAAATTTACAGTGGGACAAGTTCATTGATTTAGTAATCACACAATAAACCATCAACACATCAAATATTTAAGAGCTATAATAAAATAATAATCTGTGATAATTATTAATATAACAAATTAATTATATCTTCAAACAAATTTGTTTGTAAGGATTTTAAAAGATCCTTAATAAAAATCATTCGCTTGATTTCCCATGATTATATAATTCATTTTAAAGTAAAATAATATGTTGCTTTTGTATTAATTTGAGTAGTTTTTGTAGAAATTACCGTTCTCTCTAGCGACGACACAAACCAAGCTTCCTTTTCTTCGCGGAGTTAAGACACAAACCAACGTGAAATTCAAAATCTTCAAACGCGGTAAAAGTTTTGGTTAACAAAAACCGTTGAACTTATAGACCGTTAAATTTATAAAAAGTCAACGACTAATTACAGCTTTAATTGTTTTTCGTAAATTTAACAAAGAAATCTGAAATATTTATGTATACTGACCTAATTTTATTTCCGAGAGATTTAATTTGTTTAGATTTTAAATAAAAAACTTGTTAGAAAACGGCAAATTTGCAAAAATTCCGCATTCTATTTACAAAGTGGAATGCATAAATGGCTCCATAAATCCAGAAGCACGCGGATAGCAAGTGCCTACTTAATGTAAATGTAAACGCCTACAAAGCGCCGACTTATCGTCATAAAAAGAGCCCAGCATAAACAGCAACAAATAAGTGAAACAAAAGCGCCGTCAACATGTCGCAGTTTTTGGAGGTCTAGGTGAGACTATATAATGCCAGTAAGCCTGATTCGCAATCACAGCAGTAGGAGAACTTTTGCCAACATGGAAAACTCGCAAAGTAAACCCGGTCTCCTCTTGTTCCTAGTTATTCTGGGTATTTCTCTGGGCGGAACTATGCCCCTGGAGGACATGGACTCGCAGGAAATGATTGACTTGACAGATCTTGGGGATACTGTCTTTGGTAATCCGGATGTGGAAACCACGGGCGCTTTGGTCGAGGCTCACAACGAGGGATCCCCGCAGAACCCCGAGGAACTGGGCACCTATTACGAAGGTGACATATTGATCCCCTTGAGCTACAGAAATGCTCGATTCAACGGCTCTCGTAATGGCATTTTGGCGCTGAGTTCCCGCTGGCCGGGCGGCGTTGTGCCCTACGAGATCAAAGGACCTTTTAGCAGCCAGGAAATGGGCAATATCAATCATGCTTTTAAGGTAGGGATACAAATAATGAGAAATTTATATATATTTTAAATGATCTTAACTTTTCCAGGAGTACCACACCAAGACCTGTGTGCGTTTCAAGCCCAGGACCACCGAAAAGGATTACATCTCCATTGGAAGCGGAAAGTCTGGTTGCTGGAGTAGCATCGGTCGCTTGGGTGGCCGCCAGGAGGTGAATCTGCAGTCGCCCAACTGCCTCCGAACTTATGGAACTCCGATCCATGAGCTGATGCACGCCTTGGGCTTCTTTCACGAGCAGAATCGCCACGAGCGGGATTCCTATGTCCGCGTGATGAGTGACAACATTAAGCCCGAGATGATGGCCAACTTTGAGAAGTCCAGCTCCAGGACTCAGTCGGGATTCGGCGTGGAGTACGACTACGGCAGTGTGATGCACTACTCGGCCACCAGCTTCACCCGGAATGGACAGCCCACTCTGAAGGCACTGCGATCCTCTTCCGATGCCAGCCAAATGGGCCAACGACGAGGATTCTCCGCCGGCGATGTGCGCAAGATCAACGCCATGTACAAGTGCAAGGTTTAGATGAAACGGGCATTCTCTAGATTTTTTACCCAAAAATCGTAGAGTTATGCCTATCTATATGGACTATTTAACGGAAAGTAAATGAATATATATCAGTATTTTATTCTAAAATAAATACATATTTAACGTAATACATTTAAGAGTATATATCAGCCTGAGCAATGGAAAGATCATTCTTATATCTTGTGTGATTTTAAAAAACGACGATTTCTTCATAACGTGGCTATATTTAAATAACTAATTAAAAAATACAAATCTTAACTGGCAAAAATTCCAACTTACAAAGTGGAATGAACAGTGCTTCTAAAAATAAAATAGCACACGGAATGCTAGGTAAGAATTACCTATATAAGCCTGCAAGACCGCCTAGTAATCACAGTTGAAGAAGATTTGGAAAAATGGAAAAGTCGCAAAGTAAATCCAGTTTATTCTTGATCCTAGTTATTTGGGGCATTTATCTGGGAGATTCCATGCCTCTGGAGAAAGTGGACTCTCAGGAGGCTTGTAATAAGAAATTCCAGAACCCCGAGGCACTGGGAAACTACACCGAAGGTGACATGATCCTTCCAATAGGCTTCTGGAATGCCCGCAATGGCATTTTGGATCCTAAATACCGCTGGACAAGAGGCGTAGTTCCCTACGTAATCGAAAAACAATTTTTAACGAACAAAGAGTTGGCAACAATCTACAATGCATTTGAGGTACGGATTAAAAAAATCATGTTATATTACCCTACAACTTAAAAAAAAATCAACAAGAATTTGTAAATTAAATTAACTGCAAGTTGTAATGGTACTTCTGAATAAATTAAAAAAGTCGAAATAAATTATTATTTAATATAATTGATGTCTTTCAGGAATACGAAAAATGGACCTGCGTTCGTTTTAAGCTCAGAACCACCGAGGAAGATTACATATCGATTGTAAAAAGTAATGAAGTATGTTCTAGCTATGTTGGGCGCAAGGGTGGCCGTCAGGAGGTAAAACTGAAGTCGGAGTGCCTGACTAAAATCGGAACACCGATCCACGAGCTGATGCATGCCTTGGGATTCTTCCACGAGCATAGTCGCCCCGACCGCGATTTGTATGTCAGAATAAATAGTGCTATTGCTAAAGGCCTACCGTGGAAAAACTTTGAAAAGATCGGTTTACCATGGGCAACCACGTTCGGCGAGGAGTACGACTATACCAGTGTAATGCACTACGATAGCTACACATTGATTGCATTGCGCGATACTTTCGATGCCAAAAAGATGGGTCAAAGAGACGGTTTTTCCCCCGCAGATGTGCGCAAGATCAACGCCATGTACAATTGCAAGGTTAAATGAAAATGACATGCTCTTGATTTGTTACTCAAAAATTGTATATTCATGTATAACTGTATGGATCATTTAATGCTCTAAATAAAATTCAAAATATTACAAATACATATCCTACGGCATTCACAACTCAATTCTAACCCACTAAGAAATATATAATTCTGCTATATAGTACCCGTCTAAAATTAAAAAAAAAAACAAACATAAAAACTCCAAACCGGAAAAATTCCTACTTACAAAGTGGAATGTCTAAATTTTTCTATAAATATAAAGCCATGTGGATAAGTAAGTAAGACTGTATAATAGTGCTTGTGCGCTCCGCTAGTAACCACATCAGTAGTAGAATAGAAGTACGTGATCATAACTTGGATACAATTTTCGACAGATTTTATTGGTGCATTGACAATCATAGGGGAAAGAGCTTGATCTGCTGAAAGGCGGTTTAAAGTGCCATTAGAAGACAATTTAGCTCTCTTAATTATAGTCCCCGTGGACGCGGGAGTACTTGATGATTCATTAAAGTTTAAGTTAGCTTAATCCCGTTTTCCTTCCGCCCGCAAAGCCTGTTCTGCGGCTACTAGCAATTGATCCTCATCTATCGTTGACAACAATTCTTGGCTTTTCCTGTTTTGTGTTTTAGGACAAGATTTTGAAAAGGCTTTATGTGCCCTCCCTCTTTTACTTGAGGTGGAAGCAATGACATCAGTGCGATAGTCTTCGCCATTCAATGTGAACTGAAGCCAACTTGCATTATGAGCAAGGAACCTGGCTTTATCTCTCAAAGATTTTTCAATCTGTTTTAAAACTCAAAAGACAATTTACTCATGTGAAATTTCAATTGTGATTGATCCCTGCGTGCTTTACAAGACCGTCTCGCTGAGCGGTTTTTATGTTTTTTGACCAAACCTCAAAAAATGCAGCACGGCTTATTTCACTCATTTCTAAATAGAAGGTCCTTGGGCCAAATATGGGCATGATTTTATTTTCTGAATCAGAATGAATGCCTGCGAATGATGTATGTTCTGGCTGGATAGAATTCGATAGAATAACATAAGTTTTATTTCACAAAAAAAAGGAAATATGAAACAATACACTTAATTTTGGAAAAAAATGTTTTTGTTTTTGAAAGTAGATTAAAAATTGTCTAAAGTTACTGGGAAAAATTACTTTTGGCTGCTCCCACTGATCACGCGATGCAATTGATAAGACTAAACTTTGTCAACTGTTGCTCGCTTCTCAGTGCAAACTTGCATGCATTTCTAAAGTCCAACATTAAAAACCGTTATCTTCAAAAAAAAGGTTTTTTTTTGTTTCGTGCCTGTTTTGTTAATAGTTGAACATTTCTAAAAGTTCTGCTTAAAGCTCATCGACTTCAAAAATAGTTCAACTTTTGCTAAAAGCCCCCTAGATTGGTAAAATCTTACACTGTGTATCTTGTATAGGTGCCAAAATGATTCTATTATAAGTTCAAAATATGAGAAGATTTAACTTTAAAATTTGTCAAAATGTGCGCAAGATTAACTCTCGATTTTTTACACAAAAATCGTAGAGCTTTGCATATCTACATGGACTATTTAACGGAAACTAAATGAATAAATATCAGTATTTTATTCTAAAATAAATACATATTTTACTGTATATCATCCAGAGAAATGCAAAGATCATTCAATTCATTATCTCATATCTAGGGTGATTTTATTTTCGTCCAAAACAATTAGATTTCTATATTTAAAAAACTAATTAAAAAATACAAATCTTAACTGGTAAAAATTCCAACTTACAAAGTGGAATGAACAGTGCTTCTAAAAATAAAGTTGCACACGGATAGCTAGGTGAGAATTACCTATATAAGGCCAGCAAGACCGGCTAGTAATCACAGTTGAAGAAGATTTGGAAAAATGGAAAAGTCGCAAAGTAAATCCAGTTTATTCTTGATCCTAGTTATTTGGGGCATTTCTCTGGGAGATTCCATGCCTCTTGAAAACGTGGACTCTCAGAAAGTTCTTAACTTGACAAATCGTAGCAATACTGTGTTTGGTAATCCGGAGCAAAAAACCAAAGAGGTTTTTGTCGAGGCTTATCATCAGGCAACCCAGAGTCCCGGCGAAATGGGAGATTACTTCCAAGGTGACATGATCCTTCCAACAGAAACACGCAATGGTGTTTTACATCCTGATTACCGCTGGCCAGGAGGCGTTGTGCCCTACGTAATCGAAGGCCTATATCACGAAAATGAATTAGGAAATCTCAAAGGTGCTTTTTATGTAAGTATTCTCAAAAAAGCATATGAAATTACCTAGAACTTTTCATAATACTAATGTTCATTGATATGACATTTGGAATAGAAATAACGATAAATTGTTTTTGTTACTCCTAAATAATTTAAAAAGTGAAAATAAGTTATTTTTTAAATGTAAAACCTCTTTCAGGAATATCACAACAAGACCTGCGTGCGTTTTATAGAGCGAACCACCCAAAGGGATTACATCTCGATTGTTAGCTATACAAATGGATGTTTTGCCAAGGTAGGCCGCTGGGGGGGCCGCCAGGAGGTGCATTTGAATTCGACTGGTTGCCTACAAGATATCGGCACTCCGGTTCACGAGCTGATGCACGCCTTGGGATTCTGGCACGAGCAGAGTCGCCCAGACCGTGATTTATATGTACGAGTGATAACCGAACACATTAAAACCGACAGAGTGGATAACTTCAGGAAGTACAGCTTCGAGGAGGTGACCACATTCGGCGAGAAGTACGACTACTTCAGTGTAATGCATTACAGCAGCGATGCCTTCTCAAAATATAAAGGTCTTCCAACGATTGTGGCATGGGACCCCAATATCACATCCTTGGGTCAACGTACTGGTTTATCCCCCACAGATGTGCGCAAGATCAACGCCATGTACAATTGCAGGGTTTAAATGAAATTGACATGCTCTCGATTTGTTACACAAAAATTGTAGATTCATGCATAACCTGTATAAACCATTTAACTCTCAAAATAAAATTCAAAACAGTTTAAATACATATTCTACGGCTTTCACAACTCAATTATAATTTACTAAGACTATAACTTTGCTATATATTACCCGTCTAAAAAAACAAACATAAAAACTCCAAATCTAAACAGGAAAAATTCCTACTTAAATAGCGGAATGCCTAAGTGTCTCCATAGATATAAAACCATGCGGATAAGTAGGTGAGACTGTATAATACTAGTGAGCCCCGCTAGTAACCACATCAGTAGTAGAATTTGCCAGCATGGAGAAGTCGCAAACTAAACCCAATTTGTACTTGCTCCTAGTTCTTGTGGGCATTTCCCTGGGAGATTCTAAGCACAGGAATGGGATTGACTTGACAGGTTTGGGTGATGAAATGTTTGGTAGTCCGGATGAGAAAACCACAGGTGCTTTGGTCGCGGCTTACAATAAGAATTCCAAGCAGAATCCCGAGGAACTGGGCACCTACTTGGAAGGTGATATACTGGTTCCATTGAGCTACAAGTACTCGCGTAATGGCATTTTGGAGATGAGTTCCCGCTGGCCGAGAGGAGTTGTGCCCTACGAGATCGAAGGTTCCTTTTCCACCCATGACTTGGACCAAATAAATCAGGTTTTTGCGGTAAGAAATAAATAATTTTTGAATTTAAATGACAGATTGATCGATTTCAGGAATACCACAAAAGAACCTGCGTGCAGTTTAAACCAAGGGCGAAGGAAGAAGATTACATTGCTATTGTAAGTCGCATGTCTGGCTGTTCCAGCCCCATCGGACGAATAGGTGGACGCCAGGAGGTGAATCTGCAGTTGCCGGGCTGCCTGCGAAGAATCGGCACTGCGATCCACGAGGTGATGCACTCCTTGGGCTTTTTTCACGAGCAGAATCGCCACGAGCGGGATTCCTATGTCAAGTTGTTAAGTGAAAACGTCAGGCCGGGCAGGATGAAGAACTTCCTGAAGTACAATTCCAGCCAGGAGACAGGCTTCGGCGTGGAGTACGACTACGCCAGTGTGATGCACTACTCGCCCAAGAGCTTCTCGTTTAATGGACAGCCCACGTTGAAGGCAGTGCACAACACTCCGGAGGCTAGGATAATGGGTCAACGAGTTGGATTTTCTCCAAGTGATGTGCGCAAGATCAATGCCATGTACCAATGCAAGTTGTTCAGGAAATGCAAGGTTTTTGGGAAACACCATGCTCACAAGCACTGTAAAACTCTATGGTTACACGTTTCTAATCACAAGTAATACCATTTCACTCACAATTCAATTCCGATTTACTGAAAAAATATGTCTATGGTTACAATATTTGATAACATTCTTAACATTCGCCTATGTGCGTCGTGTCTTGTACTGCTCCGGGATTTCTCAGGCCATCCAATCCATCCTAGTGGTGCGGAAGGTTCTTGTTCGTCTCGAAGAAGAAGTTGCCCTGCATGTTGAGCTCCTTGCAGAGCGTCGAGAATCTCCGGATGGCGTTGTAGGTGCCGAGCTGACTTTCGCTTCCATCTTTCATTTAAAATATAACAGAAGATACTATATATACAGCAGAGCAATTGGGCCGTAGATCGCATGCAGTGGGTGATTAGTAATCCGGATGATCCGCTCTGGTTAGTGGGGACGCGCCTTTTGGATGGTGGCCTTACCTGGGCCCGCGAAACCGGCGCCCGTTGCATTCAAATCCAGGTTCATGTAGAGCGCCATATTCCCAGTGGATCCGTGGCGCGAGCGATTGTTGAGGAAATCCCGGATGTGCTGGACAATCAGATCGATGGCCACTGAAAGGAAGAGAGAGTTTAATTAGTCAAAAGTCAAGCTAATGAATATCAAATCGTAATGCTGCACCTTCGTTAGCATTGCAACTCAACGTGGAACAATCCACTTACCTCGCTGCTCCGCCGGAGCTTCCCCGATCCAAGCGGTCTAGTCTAAGCCAAGGACTTACTCTAGCTCTAGTTAGTAGGGTCTATTACCTAATCGCATCTAAGCTGGGCGGCATATTCTGTTAATTCTGTTACTCTATTGTGTGTGCTTTACAATCTGCTGGTTGTGTACTTACTAAATGAAACACCGATTTATCTTCTCGCCTTGTTAGGCCATTATCTGTCTTGCGTTTGTATATTTGAGACTTCGTTAAAGTGCTTATAGCGCACACGATTTGATAACACTAAAGTCGCAGGTTCCGACTTTATGGATGCCCGGTACTTGGAAACAAAAATTATATCCTTACAGTACGCAAAACTCAAAAGAGAAGATGGTTACAGTACCAGTAAATATTTTTTATGGAGTTCCATATTGCTTATGAATCGATTGCTTAGTTGGATATATTATAGTGATAGATTCTACAAGTACATCGAAACTGCAAACTCTAGATTATATTAAGTTTGTCTGACTTATATTCTTTATAGAAATTTATAAGAACATCTACAAACAAATAAATATTTGAGCTTAAGAAAGGAGTTATTTATAGTCCGTTTAGCAGATAGTTAGTATGTAAATATTGAAAAACTATGCAAACTAATAATGGAAAGTGAAATAAGGAAAAACTATAAATGTCCTACTTAATTTTTAAGCAGATTACACTTGACCTGGTTAAAAATATATACAACATATTTATATTTATAGAAAATTCAGCTTATAAAGGTTAATAAAGGATTCCCTTATTATATTAGCATCCAGAAAACAGAAATGCATAAGAGTGGTTAACAAAGTATCGGGCATCGGAACATAGATACAATAGTTAGATGTGTAACATGTGTGTGGTTTGGTGAGTAGAGTGCTTAAAACCTCCGAAGGAAGCCAAATCGGGTCTGGGCACCAGGTTAGAGAATAGAATAACGTTTAACTGTAACACTTCGCTATAAGTAACTTAGGACCAGAGTTAGTCTGGGATCGCAATCGCAGGTTGGGTTATCTTGGTGAACAGAAACGAGCTTACATACACGCTACCATGTATTGTTGAATATATGCAAGTAGATACTAAGGATACTTTTCAATCTTACGACTACGTTAATCGGTTACGATGAGAAGACCAAATGAGAAGCGATGCCGGCGCTCATTAATGGACATTTGTGCTGCGGCGCCTCGGCATTCTTTAGCTTTTGGACTTTAGTTTCTTTTTCTGTTTTTGGCAATTAGTACAAGCTCAAGACGCGGCGTTAGGACGAGGAAGTGGCCGCCCCAGAAGCGAGTTTTATTTGCGTTTAGTGGTCTCGCTTCATGCTAGACGCCGCCACCCTGACTGTGTTGCTGTGCTGTGCGCTGTTGGTGGTGGCGAGAATCTCCCCGATATGGTGTACAATAAGATCAATGGCAACTGCAAGAAATACAATAAAACAACAGGAACAAAACGAAAACAACGGAAAATCATAACGCAAGAGATACAATTAACAGAGATGAAGGAGAAAACAAAGAGAGGGTAGAAATGTAGTACTTATATGTATGTTTAAACATCAAGCAGTCTATGTGATAGGTATTTCTTGTCCTCAGACGGGTTAGAATGGAACCAGAAACAGAAACAAAAGAACCATTGCTATAACTATGGTTATTGGGGGTTCAACCAACTCAACGAAACACTACAAACGCTTAGAGTGTAAGAGTGTGTTTTGTGTGGGCATAGAAAGTAAACTGAGGTGGACAGGTGTCTGGGTGCTGCTGCTGCTGCCTCACCTGTGTTGTCGGCGCCTCGTGGTATGATAACGTCAGCAAACTTTTTCGTCTGAAAAGAAGGTAGGTTTTATTTATTACACTCTATAGCAAATCGAATAAAGGCGTAACTTACAGGCGAGCAGAATTCCTCAAAAGCGGGCTTCACGAACGTCATGTATTGGGTGAGTACGGCGTCCAAGTCCCGTCCACGTTCGTTGATATCACGTGGCACTAGGGGAAAATTTATTATATTGGTTGCTAGGAATCATGTGGAACCACAACTTACCTCTTCTGGCCAATCTGGTATCGGAGTCTGTGTCCACGAATAGCTTCATGTGGAATAGGTCGCGTATCTTGGGAAAGTAAAAGACCAGTATGCCCTCGAATAGGACCACATCGGCTGGGTAGATGACCAATGTGTTTTCAAAGTCCCTAAGGGATATAGAAAATTATTAATATATGAAGGAGTTTGAAAATTTAAAGAAAATATAATACAAAATAGAAGGAATATTACAGATATTATTTTAAACAGTCTTTCAGTTTTGTATACCAATTACTCTTAATTTACCCAATAAACTAATAGTCATGGCAAATTAAATTATAGTAAGTACATAGAGAACTTTAAATGGTTATCACTGTTTGGAGCTTGCAATGTCCATATAATTTTAGGATCTATACTTGTATAGTAATGAATACAATCAACTGATAAGAACTAAAGTTCTGATAAAGGATTATGGGACCATGGCCCACATTTTTTTTTATAGATTTATCCAAGATATCCCCTACTCACAGCGAGTTGGTGCGGTAATCATAGCTGGGTATCTCCACCTTGTGGCCTTTCAGGATATTCTGCAGGGTGCTGAACATGAGTTCCTCGTTGAAGGCGTCCGGATGGTCAAAGTTGAAGAGGCCCTTCTGGGCCTTGGCCTTCTCGGCGGGCGTGAGTTCCCGGTAGAAGCTGTCCTGGCTGATGGACACCACCTGGCGCTGCGTGTGATCCATTTCCGCCTGGCCCAGTTGCTCCATGATCTTCTTGCAGACCGTCGACTTGCCGCTGGCCGTTCCGCCGGCCACGCCGATCAGGAACGGCGACTTGACCTCATCGTTGGCTGCGTTCCCATCGCCATTGGGCAGTCGCAGCGAGTCCGCTTTCCGCAAATCCTGCATATTTTCCGCGTGAAAATTCTAAAATGAAATGCCTCTTTTCACACACAACAGCTGATTGGGTTGATAGACCATCGATGGTATTGTTATCGAAAAGTAGTTATCGATATTCCGGAAGTTCAGCGTTGCCACCTTGACTGATTTAGAACAATAGTCGTTACTTTTTAATTAAACATGATATTTGGTAAACTATAAATAAATATACTTATTTACAAAACCATAAAGCAACCATTTAAATACATAAACATAAGGGCAGCGAAAATCTACACGTACATTCATCTTGCTGACGCCGGCGCGTTGAGATTTGAAAACAATTTACCAACGCATTGGAATTGGAAATATTTGCACAGCTTGGCTTTTTGTTTGACTGAAGAGAATGCTATTTTATGCCTGTATTTGCATAGTAACTGTTTCTCTATTAACAACCTGCTGACGGTCATATGTCAGTGTCTTTTCAAAGCCCAACCATGAAGGCTGCTTTAGATCTCAGCCCCTGGCGATGGTTTTACTGGCTGCTCCTCAGTGTCTTACTAAATTCTAGCCTCAAATCCTGTCGTGCAGTTCCCATTGTCGGAGGTCGAATCGTGTCAACCGTGGGCAGTACATCATTAAGTTCCCTATCTTGTAAAACTAACTGAAAGCTTCTCAATTCCATTTAAAGGCAGCACGAGCAAATATCCCTTCATGGTCTCACTGCAAGACGTAATCACGGGAAATACCACGAATGGAGTTTCCTATCAGCACTTTTGCGGCGGCAGTTTGATAAGCGATCGTTGGATTCTGTCCGCAGCTCACTGCGTTTGGAGGAAGTTCGTATTGAAAGGCTCTGCAGAAATTTTTCTCATAGCGAGCTAACTTTTATTTTTAGAAACATTCACAATATTGCCGCCTTCATTGGCTATGAGAATATTGAAAACATTGGGCAGCTGGAACCATATGGTCTGGAGAGCGCCGAGTATATTTACTTCCAGCCGTGAGTAATCAGTAGAGTCAAGTTTAATACTCCCCTCTTAAAGAGATTTGTAGATTATGAAAGAGGGAAATTGACTCAGCAAATGTAGAACTTCTTTGAAATTTTTAAAAGAAGGTAACAATAACAATACATTTTGTATCTTTTAATGCAGATCCAACTTTCGGAATGATATAGCTTTGCTTTACATGAAACGTCGCTACTGGAATCCTTCGGGCCATGGCCTACAATTCGCCCAACTGCCTTCCCAGGGAATGAAACCAGACCAAAATGGTATTAATCAGGGAACGTAACTGTTATAAGTTTTATTTTAAAAATCACACTTTAACAGTTATTTTCTGATTTGTAAAGTAAAACTCAAAGAATAACTGTTATTTTTTGAGTTTTATAATAAAAGTTGACAAATAACAGTTATTCGTCGTGATCAAAATAAAACTCAAACTTGATTTATGGCGATTTTGTGGGTAAACAAAATTTTAAAAAAATATAGGTATAAAATATGCGCGGTTGCCTTTTTTAACAAATTTTTAGTAAGTTATAAAAAGCACGGGTATTATGTTTTTTTTAATTATTTCATTTTTTCAAAAATGTCAAGGGAATAACTGTTATTCATACAAATCAAAAAATAACAGTTATTTTTTGAGTTTTATTATAAAAATCAAAAAATAAAAATCATTACGGATTTGTAAACTACAATGGCTAATAAAAATTGTGGTGTATTTAAAAAATTTTTAGGACCCTTCTAAGTGCGTGATTTTTTTGTATGAAAAATTTACAATAACAGTTATTTTCGTTCCCTGGTATTAATAATTCACATACAAATCTAAAATGATACTAATCCTTACTTTCCTTAGAATCCTGTCGCATTATTGGCTATGGAGCCACCCAGCATGCCGGACCATGTCAGAAGAAACTTTTCGAGGCCGAAGTTCGTGTGATTGATAACCAAAAGTGCCGCGATATTATAGGACATATCTGGGCGCCACAGAATGGAGCGAATACGGTGTGTGCCCTGGGCAACAATCAGGACTCCTGTCAGGGAGATTCGGGGTAAAAGAACTAGAGATCCTATATAGTAATAATCAATTAAATAGTTGTATCTCTTAGCGGCCCCCTGATCTGTCCCTATGGCGGCAAGGACTATATCTATGGCCTCGTTTCCCACGGACTCACCTGCGGCATCCAGGGAATGCCCAGCATCTACACGGTGACCAGGCCCTATTACGATTGGGTCCAACTGCTGATGCAGTCCTAGATCTCTGCTGATCACGTATAAATAGTTTATTTATTATGCGATATCAAACAGAAAAACAGTTATGAATATATGTACTTAAACAATGCAGGAATAGCACGGACTAATAACGAACTTAGGCTAAAGTACTGTAGGTATATATAATTACATTAGACTAACTAGCATAGACATTTTCACGATGGGACTTAACAGGTAGATCGACTGTCTTTTGGTTTTGGTCTTTTCTAAAACTTGAGGTATAAATTACTCGTTTTGAGTATTATTTTTAAGAACTCGAAAGAAAATCTAAATTTTTCTGTTCCGAACTCCTCATAAATCCAATCGTGAAAATGTAACTTAACCTAGATGCGAGGCCGTCTCCTTGAATCACTGTTTCTCGGGCTGCTCAGCCTGAGGAGCGGTGCTCTCCACCTTATCCGACAGCTTCCCCGTTCCCGTTTCGGGGAGTGTGAGGGTCAGGAGGCCAGCTACTAGAACGCAGCAGCCGCAGATGGTGGTTGGAATGTACCAGCCGAGGGCTCCCAGGCAATCGACCACATAGGGTGCCGAAATGGAGCCCACATGGGCGAAGGTGGAGCAGGTTCCCAGCGCCGAGTTCCTAATCTCGGTGGGATACAGCTCGGCTGTGTATAGAGTGACCACCGAGTAGGTGGCACTGATGCCAAAGCGACCCAGCATTGCAAAGGCCACGATCCAGGTGGTGCTCCCAGCGGGCACAGAGAGGACGAGCAGCAGGGATACCCCCGTCCAAAGGAACAGGAACATGGTGGTCATCCGACGACCCGTAAAGCGAAGCATTACCACGGGAACCAAGTAGGAGGGTATGTCCACCAGTCCAGTGGCTATGATGTACAGATACCTCGACACCGACAGATTGGCGGCATTGAGAGCTTAAGGGATTTTTAAGGTTTAATATTTCAGTATTATATAGAGAGATCACCCTATAGATAGCTTACCCGTCACATAGTAACTCAGCGAAGTAACACAGAACATGAAATAGGAGGCAAAGATCATCTTGCGCACTCTAGGATTGGCATACAACTCAATGATGGACTTCAAGGGACCATTCTTCAGTTTGTCGCCCCAAGAGAAACCCACTTCTGGTTCCAGCTGTAATATATATTCCTTTAGCAACTAAATATATATAAGAACATATTTCTTGGACTCTGCACTCACCGACTTCTTATCGGTGACAATGGGAGAAGAGGCTGCAACGGCTGCCTGAATTTGGTAGTGGCTGGGCTGTCTGAAGAGAATCTTGTAGACGCGATCGTATCTTTGGTTCGAGATCAGCCAGCGAGGTGACTCATTCATCAGGCTAAGAGTTCGAAAGTTATGGGTTAGATAAATCGAATAAAACCATCTGAAATTCACTTACTAGCAGTTGAGGATGAGTAAAAGGGAAGGAATGGTAAGGGCCAATTGAAGATGCCTCCAGGGTTGGATGACATAGCCCACCACTGCCAGGATGATCATGCCTATGGGATAGGAGGCTGAGAAGGCTATGGACATCCAGGAACGATGCTTCAAGCAGATGTTCTCCACAACTAAAAGTATACGTCAATAATAAAACAAATATGTAGGTAACTAATGAATCTTAAGTTGTGATAATTATAACTATAATGAAGTATTTCATATGTGCTTGATAAATATACCCCTTTCTTTTAAGAAAATATTTTCTATAATATTTATTTATTAGTTTTGGACTTACTCATGGTAAAGGCAGGATAGAACAGACCGGATGAGGCAGCTCCCAGGGCGAAACGTCCTGCTAGGAAGAGACTATACCAGGGTGAGAAGGTGCAGAAGAAGCTGCCCACAACAAAGAAGACAGCTCCCAGGGTAAAAGAGGTTTTGCGACCAAATCTGCAAGGATATTATATTATATATTAATATTTCATAAGAAGTACAATCAATAAACCCACTTGTCCGCTAAAATGCCAAAGGAGAAGGATCCACAGAATTTGCCCAGCGAAATGGAGACCTGGGCGGAGGTTCTCTGAATGCTCCTGTCGCAAGTGAGATCCCAGTCGGCGACAAAGGTGCTCTCGGGATCGGAGAACTCATGACGACCCTTCACCTTGCAGGAAACCTCAGCGGGCTGAGAAATCTCCGATAGGTGACTGGTATAGTTAACAGCCGCCTCGTAGGACATCTTGGCCAAATGCCCATAGTTCCAGTCCCACACGGTGCAGCCACCCGTTTCCAAACCCTTCCCCGAAATCTCTCGCTTCTGTGACAAAGTCCAGTTGGTGTCCTGAAGATCCGAGATGCCACACCACTGATCCTCTGGCAGATGACCTAGCAAGGTGTACGAGGACACATGGAATCCATTCAATATATTGGGCGTGACACACAGGAAGAAAATGGCCCTGAAAGTAGAGAGGAAAACATAACTTACAATAACATATTTATCACCTGAAATTAAGTAAATTTCACTTTACTGCTAATTGGGATTTTGTTTTCGCAGATACAATATATCTGGTATCCGGACAAATTGTTTACAGCACGCAACTCCAATTTTGTCGCACATTGACACCGCTTGCCTAACTGCTCGTTGGAATGCAAATAATAGTAGCCGCTGATCAAAACATCCGAGAGTAAAAACAAAGCTGTGAAGGTTGTATTTAGTGGGTGATATGTATGCTTATGTATGCCGATCACATAATCACTTAATAGCAGTTAAAGATTCCCCAGAGCAGTGTCGTTAATCATCAAACAAATCGGGCAACCGGAACGATCGGCGAAATATTTACATATCCGACTTTTTCACGTGACTCCCCCACTCGCAAAATCACGTAGATCATCAAAAATTCCAGTCACTCTTAATGTTTTTCGGTGGTAAATGCTGTATAGGACTTCCTCGAATGAGTCAGTTGAATGACTTCAAGTGCACATGTCCTCCAGCTCTGAAGATCTTATCAGATGGGATTTAGATTTATAACATGGATTGGGATCTGGGTAATGGAACCGGTACTCACGATCACCACATCGCCCGATTTTAATTCACAAGTGAGTCTTATCACCTACGATTAGAATTATTACTACATATACATATTATATATGCGCTGATAGGCCAGATTTCCAATTCTATATTTAAATCCTCTAGCGAACGATCGTTCATATATGACCGTTGCCCCTCGGTTGGAAATCAGATGGGTGAGTCTTCGATCCCGGCCTAAAATTAACATCAGGAAGCCCCCTCTGCAATTAGTTTAGCTTAGTTTAGCTGGCAAAAACTTAATTGATTTTAGGTCTTGAATTTAATTGTGGTGACTGAGTGAGTGAATCGTGGTTAAAATAGGGTTCTAACTCATGCTCACGATTCTACTTTAGTTATATCGCCCAATCAAGCGGAAAAACTAATTAAATCGCTGTGAGCTGAAATTACGGGGAGAAAAGTGCACCACCCTGAGTAATGTCAACATTTTCTAAAAACTCAACCTTTAAAAGCTAGCGCACTGCATTCGTTATGAAGTGGGTCAAGTGGAACGTGATTCGAGCCGAGCTAAAAAGCGACTTCCTCGACTTCGAGCGAATTATGGCAGAAATATGATTCCTACTTTCCGCTGTGAGACAGTGATCTGAATAGACCCCTCAAAGCCTAGATTACAAGCTGGTTCCATTTTGAAAAATTACTATAAATATATAGACATTACTATATATTACATTGTTAGTTCTGCTATAGGTTAACTGTATTTTAATATTTGATTTTTTTTAAACAAAAAGGTAGTTTAAAAGGAATAAGTCCTTAAAAAGGTTAAGCAAATCTTAAACATATCATAGCATTTAATGATTAAAACTGTTGAAAATTTCAAAAGTATCTCATATTTTTAGATTCTTACAAATATAAGATCAATCTTAAGATAATTTCGGAAACGAGTTGTTGAACATGAAAAAAGTATTTCATATTTTTAAGTTGTTACAAAAACAAGATCAATTTTAAGATATTTTCGGAAATGAGTTAAGTTTAGATCCTTATTTTAAGGTAATTATATCCTTAAATTTAAGTATCTGCTTACCAGACAAATGCTCCTCCACTGCCCACTTTTTCCAGCTGCTTGGTGAGCAGATCCTTCATACTCTCCTCACTGATGAGCTCGCGACTCTTCTCCGGATTCTCCTTCGATTGAGTCATGTTGGCGAACGCAATATCACAGATGCTCGCGGTATTCAAAATTCGAAATCCCGCCTTCGAAGACGAGACGATGATAATGATGTTATATGCGGCAGACGACTGACCCCACGCAAACGAACGAACGAATCTTGCAGATTGCAGTGAGGTTCGCGTTTCTGACACTGAACTTGGATTCCTTGGGCCGTGCAATCTATTTTCGATCTTGTGCAAAAACAATGCTTTGGATGTGTCTTCCAATTTTGCTTGGGATCTGGCTTAGGAACCTAAGTCGAGGATCCGCTGGAGTGCATTCACTTCGAACAAAAACGATAAGGCTGATATATACGTATTCACTTTCACTTTCGCCCTCGACTGATGGGGTCTTTCAATATTTTTCGGTTTTCGGGGCTTCTGTTGTCGTTCCTGCAGTGGCTGTTTATCTATCGGCTGGTTCTATTTTCTGTTTATGTTTTTTCAATTGGTAATGCAGCACATGGGAGCGCTTCTTCGCTTTGACGGACGGCGACACGTTTTTCTCTTTTTTCTGCTTTCAGTATTCCGTTGTTGTTTTCGAAACACAAAATTTCCCTCAAGTTAAAATAAACATGAAAATGAAATGAAATATTTTTTTTTTATTTTGGGGATATTATTTTATTTTTCTTTGGTGTTGCAACGCGTGCAGTTGCGTTTGGCTGCCGCTTTTCGCCGATGTTGCTATCAACTACTTGTCGCTTCGGAAGCGTCTCACAAACTAAGCCCACGGGAGGCCGATCGCAGCGTTTTGTATGCCGTTCCATTGGGGCATTGGGGAGGTAAAACGAAGGGGGGGTGAGCTATAGGGGCTGGGGCGGTACTAACATCGGTACTCGGTCAGTGCCTCAGTTGCCCCCAGTTGCCCCTGCCGTCTGTGATTCACTCGGGATCGCTCGGCTCCTCCCGATCCAAATACTCGGGCCCCATTTATGTTGATTCTTTTTTGGATTCGAGTGCAAGCATTAACAAAAAAATATAAAAAATACAAAGTAAAAACATTCATAGAGCGTCTGAAGAGAGATTCGATTCTTAGCGAATGTCAAAAAGCGAGCACTCTACAAATAACCAAGGAAAGCTCTGATTTTCCGAGTTCCTCTGCTTGTACTAATTTAATAATTTGAAAACAGAACAATTACCAAAAATGTGTGTATTTGTCAGCAGCTGTTGTTGTCACATTTCCAGAATTAGTATAATCGTATAATTAGACTTTAAATGTGGGTATTTATTTTTTCAGACAAATTACTTTATATTTACTTGTGCGTTGCAAAGATTTTTGAGGATTATATTAAAGGAAAGTTAGGATATGAGATTGCTATATGTTTTAAATATTTATTTTTAAGATTGCTTATTAAAACACTCCCTATAAAACTATTTAACATTAAATAAATTAACTAAAACTGATATTTACAAGCAATTTCCAAATTTCGGTAGTTAAGAAATGTGTTTTTCTTACTTTTGTAGCCCTTACAAATTATTTACCAAACGACTTTAGAGTACCAACAAAGAACTTTTACCACTTGGACTGTTTGCTCATTATAAATGCGTCGAACAACATGAAAACATTTAAATACACTCCCGAACACTTGAACATATGGCCGTACCCTCGCTCAAATCCCTTACATTCCATTACACTCGCGACTCGTCTACCCGAAACTCATGATATATTTACATTAACAGGCCGTTTAATTCTGTTGTCTCTGAATTTCATTACAATTTTCCCATTCGCTTTGGTGATATTCGAGAGTCGGGTATTGTTTACATTTTTGTATTCGAGTTGCTCTATTCGAAATTCCCAAAGAGCAATCGGTTAAAAGCAAAAAAAGAGCGCACTTTTCAATGGGATATTTTGTATACAATGTAGAAAAATTGATGTTCTCTTGGCGGACTTTTGTGAATGAATCTAGGGAAATAGAGTTTGTATTCCGAAACCAACTTGAACCAGAACTCTGAATCGGTAGGATGAAATAGAACCAGATTTCTACGCAGTGACCTCCGTTATCAAGTGATTCGATTTAGGTTAACCTGCGTTATCGCTGGGCATCGAGAGTCCTCAAGATCAATTGAGCTCAATGAATCGAACGACGTCAATATCTTAACTACCTATCCCAAAAGATAGAGATTGACATTGAAGGAGGGGGGTAGATGGGATGGGATTGTGGCACAGTATATTCCCTATATTCCATTTATGAATCTCTTTGTTATCGCATTCTAATTTTAGCCTTGCCGCAATTGTTGTTCACTTGTTCGGCTTTATTCGCTTCCCAGGCGCATTCAATTCGCCTGAGAGTTAGCCGTTCTAACGGTTTTAGTTCTAGTTCTACCTGGTATTATACTAGCATTCTAGCCGTAATTAGACCCCTATGTATTTATTTTCATGCACTTGGGCGTGCCTCCCATTAGCAATTCGATTGTCGCTGGTTTGGGTTGGACCCCTCTATAACTTTTTGATTCGGCTTTTGTTTGTTTTTCGAACGCACGTGCAGTTTCCTACGGATATGTATTATTCCTCAATGGGGTGGTGACTTCAAGAACTATGGGTAGTTTACTTTCGCTTTCAGGCCACAGCGGGTCAATCCATTTAGTGCTAATCTAATAATAGCCACCTCATCTGCATAATCGCCCAGAATTCTTTATAATGTGATAAGCTTTGTCATAAAAAGATAAATGGCAATTTAAGGAGATGTCAAGCCTAATTTAGAAATAGCTCAGAGAGAAGAGCACAAGGAGAAAATATAGTAAACTAAACAAAAATAAAATAAATAAATAAAATAAGTATTTTTCAGTTTCAGTTTAGCTGAGAAAATTTTTATTACTTATTTATTAACATTGAAAATGCTATGGTCGCCCCTTTTTATACAAAGTTGTACGAGTTTTATTACAAAAATTCGACTTAGGAGGCACTTAAAAAAATATATTGATGGGTTGTTCGACACTTATTTGACAGCTAAGATTTTATGTTAATATTTACAACCCAGGTTTTATGGCTTAATAAAGAAAAGATTTTTTCCACGAGTTCAAAGGTCAGGCAAATAAAAATGATCTATATTAAAAATTATAAAATTATAAATTATAATGTATTCTAAACTGCCTAATTGTGCCATTAAATTCCACTCGATACTTTACCTCCCCCTTCTTTCACCACACTCACGCTATAGGAAACCTTTGAGATGATAATTCCTACTTATAACGACAGCCACAATTTAGCCAGCCAGGCGTTGGCGATGCTTAAGTGAATGATTGCCGACGAAACGAGCCGGGGAATTGTTCACAAATTTGTATCGTAGAAATCTAGGCGTTTGCTCACTAATGCGGTTATTCCACTACATCGTTCGGATCATTCATTAGTACAATTTTTTCTCAGCCCATACGATTTTACGTAGGTGCGAGCAAGATCCGATTTACAGTAGCTCTAATAAATGAGCAAAATTGTACTTTTTAGATTCAATTTTGCTCATACAAAAAAAAATAAAATGGTGGCCTTCGGTTTTTAAAATTTTGCTCATTAATTGCTCATTGCAGCTGACATATATCTGTCTTGCTCGCACCTACGTAAAATCGTATAGGCTGAGAAAAAATTGTTCTAATGAATGAGCCGACCAATGTAGTGGAATAACCGCATAAACTCACTAAATTCAATGAGCGTGTATTTAAGACGAGCCACTCGACCTGACTCTAAATCCCCTCGGAGAAATGTCGTGGGTGACAAGGTCGAACTTAAGAGCAGACACTTTAATTTCTATAGAGACATAGTTAATCCCTAGGACGACCTGGCGTAGCCAAAGTTCAGCAACCAGATGAGTCCGAGCACAAAGAAGCTGTAGAAGGTCACGTTGTAGAGATTGAGGCGACTGAGGAGGCCACGGATTCTGCCCGATTTCCTGACATTTTCCTGCGGAATCTTGGGCCTCTCGTCGAGCATATCCTTCCAGCTGACCACCTGGGGTCGGACCACAAAGAGGGCATTAACTGCCGCCCGGAAGCCACTTTGTACAGCTCCACCCATCAGGCTGCGATAGCTGGTTGCGGTGGCCGAGGAACTGGACCAGATGACCCGATGCCAGGGCTTGGTTTGTGGTTTATGGAGAACCACATTCAGTTCATCCGTGGAGCACTGGCACTCCAAAGGCTCTCGCATCTCCTCACCAAAATTCTTGGCCAGTAGATCTATTACCTCCTCCAGGACCTCGTCGTCTTCATCCCCCGGTGAGTGGAGAATATACCCACTTAAAGTGGAAGCCCTGCTCTCATAACCACTCATCAGAGGTTGGGAGTTTAGGAAGTTGCCGGAGTAGCCAAGTTCCGTCCAAAAGGATTTGCCATAACGCAGTTGGAATTGGGTAATCAAACGATGGGATTTTTGACCCGATTTAGATACAATCGGTGGTAGAAATCCCTTGGGAATGCGGGGTTCAAAGTTTAGTTTCTGCACCTTATTCCAGGGTATCGCCAGTATTACCGCCTGAGCCGTGTGCCTATTGCCCAGATCATCCGTCACCTGCACATAGTTCTTAAAGTGCTCCAGTTTCAAAGCCTTACAATTCAGCATAATCGCAGTGAACTGCATCTGTTCCAAGATGTTCTCTATCAGCATCTGAGTGGAGATCTCATACAGACTGCTCGGGTAGGTAAAGTAGCTAGAAAAAAGATTATAATAGGCTACATTAAGCTCAGTAATGGGAAAGTAACTCAGGGTGAGAAAAAAATTACTATTTGATGGGGTACATTAATTACAGTAATGGGAATACGTAGCATCAATCAATCAAAGCCAAGTTATAGGCAATATATAAACATTCTATGGAAATTCTAAGCCTCTCAAAGCGAGAAAGTGACACATACGTGATCTATAAAAAATTACTAAAACAAAACCCGTGATTGATTAGTTTTCAGGGGTAGTAATTCATGAGGGCTAATTACCAGACGTGCTCTATTTTTTAATTTTTTGTGTTGGCATGTGTTTTATATTTAAAAAATTTGCTTTTTAATTTTTAATTACTGGCTTGGAAATATTTTTAAAGCGGCTTTCACGCCTTTGTTTCGTAAATTCTACTGTAATTATGTCAGATATTAAAAAAAACAAGAAAAGTAATATAATAACTAAGCTGATCTTAAGTCAGCTAAGAAGGGTAATATTAAAAAAAACCTTAAAAACTAAAATGTATGTTAATTTCTTACAAATCAATCAGCATTTTGAGGCCACCGCAGGAACTGCAGACGGACATGAAGACATCGTAGTCCACCTCATTGGCAGGAACACCGCAGACGATCTCAACCAGGTTAAGCATAAAGTTCCGAGATTTGTTGAAGAACAAATGGTGGCAGATATGCTGCTCCATGTTGGACACTCGCTCCCGAAGGCTATTAAATAAATTATAAACTAGTGTAGATATAATACTTTGATTTACCTCAACCCACTTGAACCGTTTCGAGCGAAACTTGGACATCCGCATGTCCAGCATTTCTATGTATCGTCTGAGTTCGAATTTGGCCGGCAGGGCGGTGAGTCCTCGATCCAGATCCCAGCACCTGCGCAGCCTGCCATTGTCGTACCTCCGTCGCCGCGGTGACAACTGGATGAGGGTCAGGAAGGAGAGCATGTCCTGCTGGGCGCCATCCACCAGTCGCGTGCCATTCTGACCCAATTGGCCGCCTAAAACTCCGCTTGCCTCAATGATTCGGACTTTAAGGGTGCTCTCCATGGACAGGATCTTCAGGGCGGAGGCCAAACCCGAAAGACCCGCTCCCACAATCAGTACATCGAGCTCGGGAGTCTGGGTGCCGAAGGGCAAATCCATTTGAAGCGCGTTTTCACTCCCAGCAGCCGGTGGGGAATTTTGGGCATTTTACTTTAACGAAATAATGGTGAAAACTCCCGCTAAGATAGTTTGACATGCTCGGCACAGTTTGAGAAAATTGTTCTGAGAGGTGTATTATACTTTTGGGATCTTGGATCCTAAAAGTATACCTTTTTTTATAAGAAATATCTTATATCACTGTACTCTCATTCGGCACGCTGCAATTGAAAAAGCCTGTAAAGGGAAATGGCCTTGACTTTAGAAAGTATATTTAATCATGTCTGAAATTATTTTTCTTAAACAAATTTTGATGTTAATAGGTGTTTTTATTTAATCGCATTTAATGAATAAATTAAGAGGGGCTTAATATGTCAAAGTTCTTGTTATCTACTTGAAATCTTTCTTTTTATTTGGTAATGAAAGATTTATTAAACCCGATCACGCCATTATTGGCATTCAAGATAAGATTAATCAATATAAAAACTCTTTATCTGCATTCAGTCTAGGGGAACCAATATAGATTGAGATATTTATTTTTATTTTACTATATTATCTATATTTTATGATATTTAATGTAAGTACCATTTCAAGGTAATCTATTTATACTCAAGTTTGTTTTAATTATAATAATTACTCGTTGAAAAGCTATAAAATTTAATTATAATAATTACTCATTGAAAAGGTATAAAATTAGCATACAAAAACAAAGGGAATCCCTAGGGTTTGCTGTTAAAGTTAAAAAGTTGCTTACAAGCAAAGATGAGGTAAATATGAGGTAAACATTTGTTTGTATATGCCCTTTTTTTCGAACTACGAAAGCAAGTGTGACAGACACCCAGAACATTCTATGTAAATAAAACATTACAAAATACCAGATGATATACGTGATCAGTTCATTGATTTCAACGCAAAACAAGGTCGTTTTCATTTGGGTGCGTTGCTTTGATTTCCTTATCGACGACACCGTTGACACTAATCAGTTTTATCATCGCCACAGATATGTCAAGTTCCCTTTCCTCGCTATAATTAGTACTAAATTAAAATGGAAACATATGGAAAAGCCACTTTCTCCGGTGAGGAAGTGCATTAGGAGCTTGCACCCGATGAGATGCGACTTTGTTTCTTATCAGCCACGACCATTTAGACCTAATTCCTAAAGCTATAAGCGAATTATTATCGCCGCCAGCGATCCAAACGAACCCGCCTCAATAAACAAAGATGTCATAAAGTTCGTTGAACAGAGTGAAAAGTATATTTAAATGTATATTTACTTGTCTTTTAATAAACTGCTTGTAAAGGTGAACAAATAGAGTTGAGGGCAGAATGGAAAAATGGAATGAATTGAAATATCTTCGAGAGAAATGAAAAGGCGCAAAATGCTTAAATTCGTTGAAATGGCGAGGGCGCGAGCCAATTGAGGCCATTAGTTTAGATTGAGTAAAGTGCTTGGACTCCAATTAGCTGGACTTTCCATTGAGCATTCCGGCCAGCTCTTGGGGGCCTCCGCCCTCCTCGGCGGCTTCTTCAGGAGCCGTCTTCTTGCCAAACTTCTCCCCATCCTCGATGGTCTCCGGCATGGGTTTGTTGAGGGTCTCGGGCAGGAGCAGGGACAGCAATCCGGCTGTGAGTGAGAGAGCTCCGCAGATGATCAGCGGAAGTGGTCGCCAGATCTCGCCCAGCAACTTGAGATAGGGCGCCAGTATGCCACCCACTCGGGCCACCATGGAGGAGGCTCCCAAACCCACATTTCTCACCACCGTGGGGAACTGTTCCGCCGAGAAGATGTAGATGGTTCCATAGGAAGACGTAATGGCCAGCTTGCCAATCATGGCACAGGCGATGATCAGCCAATTCATATCACTTGGCACAAAGATGGTGGCCAGCAGACTCACCCCGGCTATCATCATGGTGCCACACAGAATAGAGCGACGACCCCAGCGATTGAGGGTGAACAGGAGCAGCACATAGCCGGGAATCTCAACGGCTCCAGAGATCATAAAGTTAACCAGCTGATTGCCACCCAGGTTGTTCGTGTTCCAGGAGAGCCCGTAGTAAACTCCACTGTTTACAAACCAATCGAAGAAGATGAGGAGGGTTTTCCGCCGGAGATTGGGATATCTTAGGAGATCAAAGACAGTAGCCGCTGGTTGGGAAGCCGTCAGTTCATCCTGTTTCTTCTTTTCCGCTACCTCATCCACCAGCTGCTCGTAGATTTCACTGGGTATTTGAACCCTGTTCTCCTTGGCCGCCTTTTTGATAATCACAAAGGCCTCCTCCTGGCGACCCTTGAGCAAAAGCCAGCGGGCAGACTCCGGAATGATCCAATAGTAGCAAATGAAGAGGAGTCCCGGGAGGGTCAACGCAATCTGCAGCCATCTCCAGTCGTGGATGAAGTAGGCAAAGCCAGCTGTTAACATGAATCCAACAGAGAAAAACATCTGCATGGCCACGCCGGCAAAGAGGCGATAGGAGGAACCCACCATCTCCAAAGCAATCACATAGGCCACCAGGAAAACTCCCGAGGTCGTAGCACCCACAATCATCCTGGAGATAGTGTAGCTAAAGTATTCAGGAGAAACAGCAGCCAGGACGCCAAAGATGAGCTGAAGAACCAGCGAAGCAAAAAAGGTGGGCTTGCGACCCAGTTTATCCGACATCTGGCCAAAGATAAAGCTCCCAAGGAGCACGCCCAGCATGAAGAGGGAATCACTGGTGGCACTTAGCAGACTTCTATTGCAGACCATGTCCCATTCGGTCACCGCACTATTGAGGTACTTGCTCTGGTCGTAAACATAGCGGGAACAGCTCTTGGTTTCATTAGTAATCCTGGGTACACTGCCATTTAGATACTCCTCACTATAATCCACATTGTAGTAGGCACACGTGTCGCCTTGGGGATACGAGAGGTTCCATAGGTCACTAGACAACTGATAGGTGGCACTTGCATTCTCATAGGGCAGAACACATCGAAAGTCGGGCTTGGCCAGCAGGAAGACTCCGGCCAACTTGTGGAAGGCACAGACGATGGCTGGGAGGCATAATAAATAGTAGATGCGCTTCTGATACGGTCCAAATTCACCCAAATGGGTGATGACGTCGTCGTAGCCCATAGTTTAACAGGTGTCTCGCACACCTGAGATTTGCGCGTTGTCAACCGTCCAAGTGTCGTACGATAACTGGCCAAGCGGTTCAATGGTCGCGGCACCGTGACGTATGAGCAACTTATTAATGCAGCGAATGGCACGTTGCGTATACGCCTAGTTAACCCGTTCGATTGTGCAACCGAAATTGAATTTGAATCTGAATCTGGTTGGAAAATGGAACCAGGTTGCAGCTGCAGCGAATCTCGGACTGAATGGATCTCGGATCTCGGAACGCGCGATCAACCGCTCGCCAGCTGCCTCAGTCTCGGACTGAAATCAAAAAAACAGAGAACCAAGAACAGAGGGTTCTGAGGAACCCAGAACGACCGCTTATCGACGTGTCTGTGTGAGCGGTACTGTCTGTCAGAGTGTGTGTTTCTATAGAGCGATTCTCCACGTTTCCCACCCTGTGACCAATTTATTGATAAGTGATCCGCAATAGGAAAATTAATAGTTTTCCTTTTCCGAAACAGGGATGAAAATGGGGGGAAGGGGAAGGGGAAGAGCAGCTGCCTCACTGATTTGGACATCGTACGATATCATATCAATTAGAGCCAGCAGGAACCATCTCCTGACCAAAGAAAGAGTCCACCGATTGTGGCCTGATGCCGAATTCCAAACTGTCTGCTGGCGAAACATCAATTCTTTTATCTCACATCAGAGCTAACAGTTGAGGTCAAAATATAGTCACTTTATCCATTTTATGCCATTTAAAAAATAAGAAAGTCCTTCAAATAACAAATAAATAAAGGAAAGTAAATAAAAAAGGGTAAATAAAAAAAGTAAATAAAAAAAGTAAATAAAAAAAAAAAAAGTAAATAAAAAAAGTAAATAAAAAATTAAATATAAAAAAGTAAATATAAAAAAATAAATACAAATAGGTAAATAAAAAAATGTAAATAAAAAAAAATAAAATAAAAAACGTTTTAAATAAATTCTCAAACCTCTTCTTAATTTTATAAGATAGTAGCAAGAATTGCTGTTCCTCAAATCTTTAATAAATATTATTAAAAAGTCACTATATTTTTGACCCCGTCTGTACATTGATATATGTGCTCCCTGTATAGGCTTGTATAGCTTGTGTGCGTATAGATAATGAACACTCTTCCAAACAGACTGCTCTTCCAATCGAACTGGGACTCTCTTCTCTGTTGACTTCTCTTCGCCACCGTACATTTCCATTAGTTATCTCAAACACATGCTAGCTCGTTTGAAAATATTAATTGAAAAATGCAGAGAACATGTTGCAGTGCACTCTAAAATTGTGTGTTTAACGACCCACTTTGCGAACCGAGCCACGTCATAAGATCAAGGGAAAATTTTCATGCGAATATTATGCAAAAACCCCAAGGAATCGTATGATTATGATTCTTATACCAAGTATATCATATCGGCAGCTAAAACTAAGCACTTGACAATCTCGTGATTCAGAATTAAGTGCGGGTCCACTTCTCAAGCGACAGTCTCGTGTTTTGGGGGCTGATAAGCAGCGGCTACCGAAAATAAACACAGCGGAAACACGTTTCCAGTGAACTAGACTTTTTGTCCGGGTTTACGAGGGGTCAAAAAATGGGCGGGAAAACAGATTTAATCTCTGGAAAAATACATTTATTTCAAAATCATATAGACTCTACATGTAATTGGTAAACTAAAGTTAAATAGATGTAGGAATAAATTATGCAGCGTTTTCCTTGTGATTTCCCACGGGGGTAAAAACTACCCCTAATCCTGGGATCGAAACTCTTACCCCTTTTACAAGGCTAAGTGCTGATCTATCTTTTATTTTCTTTTGTCTTGTTGTCTTCTCTTTTTTTTTTTTGGTTGCTCGTGAGATTACAGAAATGATATAATACTTGGTCTATGCTCTAATAGGTAATAGTTAAATGCCTTGCCTTTGGCCTGGCCGAAGTCTAGATGCCCTGTAACCTCTACTCTTTTTAGTTGTGGAAAAGTGGAAAAGTTTTCAGTTAGAGATTAGGTTCCTGAGATTTCCTAGTACTTGTGGTGGCCATTGGTCTGCAGTCCATTGGTTTCAGATGATCCCTTGAGCGGCTGCATCTCCGGCTTCAGCTGAAGTTCCTGTCCCGCCTCCAGGTAGACATCTCCCTTGGTCTTCTTGCCAAATCGCTCGCCATCGGCTATGGTTTCCAGCATGGGTTTATTGTGGGTCTCAGGCAGGAGCAGGGATAGCAATCCTGCTGCCAAGGCCAAAGATCCACAGATGAGCAGCGGCAGTGGCTTCCAGATGGTGGCCAAAAAGTTGAGGAACGGCGCCATCATTCCACTGATGCGGGCCACCATGGAAGCGGCTCCCAAGGCCACATTTCTCACCACCGTGGGAAACTGTTCGGCGGAGAATATGTAAACGGTTCCATACGAGGCCGTAATGGCCAGCTTGCCCATCATGGCACAAACTACGACTAGGGTGTGCATCCTCTCCGGAATGATGACTGTGGCCAGAAGACTCAAACCCGCCATTACCAGGCAGCCACACAGAATGGATCTTCTGCCCCAGCGATTGAGGGTAAGCAGTAGGAATATATAAGCAGGAATCTCCACCATTCCCGAGATGAGGAAGTTGAGGAGCACATTGCCACCCAGATTATTGGTGTTCCAGGAGAGACCATAGTAAACGCCACTCGTGACCAGCCAGTCCAGGAAAATAAGCAGCGTTTTCCGGCGGAGATTGGGATAGCAGAAGAGATCCCAAACAGAGGGCGGAGGTCCCTGATCCTGATCCTCCAACTTCTGCTTGGCCTTCTCCTCCGTGGATTCACCCTCATCCAGTAGGTCACTCAAAACCTCATCACTTATCACCACCTTATTAAACCTCGCTGCCTTCTGCATATTGGCAATGGCGCAATCCTTGCGACCTTTGGAGAGCAACCAGCGGGCTGATTCCGGAATGATCCAGTAGTAGCACATGAAGATCACTCCCGGCAAAGTCAAAGCAATCTGCAGCCATCTCCAGTCGTGGACAAAGTAGGCAAATCCCGCAGTCAGCATAAATCCCACGGAGAAGAACATCATCACGAAGATGCCGGCATAGAGGCGCTTGTCGGGACCCACCATCTCCATGGCCACCACATAGGCCACCAGGAAGACACCGGATGTAGTAGCTCCCACCATTAATCTAGCGAATGTGTAGGTAAAATACTCGGGAGCAACTCCAGCCAAAACTCCAAAGAGCACTTGGATGACCAGAGAGGCAAATAGTATGGGCTTCCTGCCGTACTTATCACTCAGTTGGCCAAAGACTATGCTCCCCAGGAGCACGCCCAGCATGAAGAGGGAATCACTGGTGGCGGCCATGAAGTCCCGACCACAAACCAGGTTCCATTCGGTCACCGCACTATTTAGATACGTTCCCTGGTCGTAAACGTAGCGGTCACAGCTCTTGGTTTCATTGCTACTCCTGGGAATACTGCCATTTAGATATTCTTCACTATAACTCACATCGTAGTAGGCACACTTTTCTCCCGGGGGAAACGACAAGTTCCAAAGGTTACTGGACAACTCATAGTGGGTACTTCCATTCTCAAAGGGCAACTCGCAACGAAAGTCGGGTTTGGCCAGCAAAAAGACCCCGGCCAACTTGTGAAAGGCCACGGGAATAGAGGTCAGGCAGATGAGGAAGTAGATGATCTTCTGGTAGCGTCCAAAGTCGCCCAGATGGACGATGGCCTCATCGTAGCCCATGGTTTTTGGGGAACTTGGAAAAATCTAAATTTTAGATTCCTTTTTTTTTCGCGCAGCTGACTTCGTCGAGTGGCGGCGGTCTAATGAATCACTAAATCGGAACCGCTATGCTTTTTGGCACTATCTCGTGATGTCGACGCACTCAGCTGAGTTCCTGAGAAGCCGAAAAGCCACTCGGTTCTCAGCTACGTTGACGTGTACTTTGCTCCCTTTAAAAGCAGAGAACGAGAGAGCTATAATTCTCCGTTCCGGCAATTATCAACCAACACGTGTTGCCAAAAAATGTTATATGTTGGCCAGAACAGAACAGAACCGAAGTGGAGAGGAAGCACTAAAAACCCGGAGCTTCCGACGATGCGTCACCTTGGGCCAGCGAAACCGAACTAAGCTATAAACGAAAACCCAATGCAATAGCTCAGGCAAACGGACAGGGCCAACAGAGTGTATATAGCGACCCGCTCTGGTACTCAAATACTCGGATACCATATATCCCCGAGTGTTTATGTTGGCGAAATATACACAACAACAAAAAAAAAACACGAAGAACGGCAAAACAAATGCCGGCTGCATGCGCACTCTCTACACGAATGGAGAATGGAGAACCGAACCGGGAGAGCGGTGGGTTCTCTAATACCATGATAATCACTCCAGTTCTTGGTTATGGGTAAGGGGAGGGTGGAGAACTGACTGAGGGAGAAGGGAGAAGCCACCCCTAGTCATGTTGGTAGCAAATTACAGCGATCCAGGTTACACGAAAACCCTCTTTCCCAACCAATTTCCATTTGCACAGCCGTCCGAAGTCAGGTAAGTGGAAATTCGAACGCCACTTTGTATGTTTTCGGTCGTTCGTCAATCAGGCGATCACTCATGAGCTCTTGCGCTCTCTCCGCTTCCAATTGAGCCGCTCTGCGATTCCGACAGACAATTAAGCGAATCTCACAAAAAACAAAGAAGAAACTAAGAAGTTGGGGGACACGACTTTAAAATACCCACTACCGGAATTTGGAAAATCATTGTAGGTTATTACAATTTTTGGTATAATAAACAAAAGAAAACAAAATGGTATGAATTTTGTAAGATTGCGAATTCTTGGGAAAAATTTAGTTTACCTAGAATCCATCAACTAAAAGAAATTAACGAAAATTTGAATCTTAAGAAATTAGTGTTAAAATTTAGAAACGTTATCTCTTAAATTTCTTAAAATAAGTGATTCATTTTTGTGGGTTACAACTTAATACTACAACTTGAAGTTCTTTATAACTTCTAGGGCTAGTACTTAACCCAACAAAAAGTCGTCCAAAACAAAAAACTTCATATGAAAAAAACGTTAACAAATTTTATTTTATATGAAGTTTTTTGTTTTGGACGACTTTTTGTTGGGTTGAGTACTGGACCTTACACAAGATCGACTTTTTAGCTTTCTTTACACTTAAGGAAATTCAATATACCCCTGGAACCAACCCGTACCATTACCGGCTATAGAAACGCTCTCAATTGAGCTCAATTAGTAAGCGTGGCACTGGCCCATTATGAGGGCGCAAAATCAAAGGCGGAAAATCGTACGATACAATGGGTTCTCCTCTGATTCGCCCCCCGTCTCATTCTTCCGCCAGCTTATTCATCAAGATCTTCAGATTGAGGGGAAGAATCATCATAAAGAGCGCAGGGTGAGCGGAACATTTGATCCGCAGAATATATCCAAGTGGTGGTGACTATAAAAGTTAGGGAAAGAAAATAGAATATTGAACTCATTGTGGAGTTAATAGTGAACTACCCCACTTGGAACCCATTAAAACTGGACAGGCGCTATGTGCTGAGAAATTGTCCTGTTCAAGAGTGTTGGATTTCAGGTTGTAGAACAGTAAGGCGGTTCCTTTTCGGGGAGTGTGGCTGATCTGGAGATGGGGGAATACAGTCAAGCCACCTTGTTCCACGTCATTCATCTAAAATTATTATTATATCTGTTAATAATATTATGTACCATTTTTGGAACCCAAAATGGGAAAAACTTACGTAGAAAAGAACTGTGGCTATTCTATCGCCTTTCAAGGGGTATATTGAATTCTGATAAATTCAAAAATTAGAAAATATATTGGAAATATAAATAAATACCTCACATTTGTGCCTAAAGTATCGTAATGGGGCAAGTACTGTCCACCCAAACCGTAGTTAAGCACCAGCAGACTGTCGATGGCTTTATCGGATTGAAGATCGAATCCCGTCATTTGGCTGATCCTTTGATTGACACTTCTGGTAGCCCAACTAAAATTGGCTTGATGAAAGTGTCCCTTGGAGGTGCGTCCCGTATTCTTTTTCATTTCGTACAACTCTCGATCGACGGTTGATGATCGTCTCATTAACGGAATGGTAATTTTCTTCAATTCCGAAATCTCCTGGTCATATATCACATCGTAATATTTGGCCACATAAGGATCCTCATTAAGAACCTCCACTTTAAAGGGTGCTAATCGCAGGAAGGGGTGAGTTGTAAAGTCGTAGTGGCAACTTAGACCCTCGAGCTCTTCAAAAAGACCCCGACATCCGTCTCTGTGGTCTTGGTAAAACTCCGCATACTGATCCTCTTTTGGGTTTTCGATCTTGTAGAGATCCCTCTTCACCTTACTTATTTGTCTTTGGATAATCACATCGTGGGATGCGTAGGTTAGGGCTTCATTCAGAATATTTAAGGCAAGAACTTTTTTATCTGAAAAAAGTCTTGAAGATATAACCTCCAAAATAATTAAAAACGTTTGATACTTACTTACATCCAAAAGATTTCTGGCATACAACTGCCATGCGTTAGCAAAGTTAAGCCCCATAACTTCAAGTGGCTTAAAAAACGATCTTAAATAGAAGAGCTCGGTAATTTCAAACCAATCCTCCGCTTGCAGATAATATCCTTTCTGATGACCAAATTTTGCCAGAGCAAAACTGTCCAAAACATCCAAGCGAGGTCTTTAATGGGAGTTTACTTTAACTAACTGTTGGATACAGAACAAAACTCGAAGAAGACTTACCCATATTGCCTGCCATTTATGCGACCTCGTGAAAAATCTTGGACTTTAAGGTCGTACATACTTACTAAGAGATATATGCTATCTTTTGCCTCTGTAAAGTCTTCTTTGGAAGGCAAAAGCTCTTGAAGACTTGTCATGCTTTCTATCTCGACTGAAATACAATACAAATAAGGTTTTTAAGTTACTGAAATTTTAAATAGTTTTCCTGAGTTTCTCGAAATATTTTTAGTAAAGTATATAGATACTACATTATACCTTCTCCATCATTCTGCCGTATAAAGTTAAGCCATTTTGGCCAGTCGTGATGCAGATGTCGCAGAAGAGCGAACCACTTTATAAAGCCAAATTCTTGACCCATACCTCCGTCTTCAAACCTGTCCAGTTCCGTTTGCATCTGTTCTAATGCTCTGGAAAGCTGCACCATCACCAACGATTCTTCTTGGTTTTAACTCATTTTACTTACAACTCGAGCGTATCCAATTTTTTCTGCAATTTCAATGCAAATTCGTCGAGATCAGAGACGAAGGCCTCTCGTACTCGAAGAAGTCTAACCATGCCGGCAATAGAACTTGAATAGTCCCTACCGGACACAATGCTTGGTTTGTTGGGGATCACTAGTATGAATAGAATGATCAAAAAGCAATTCATTCTGCGAAACGTTTAACTAAGACTAACTAATTTTTTGTAAGAAACCTTTTAGACACTTAAAAGGCAGAACATATCATTTGTCAAGCTATAATAGCAAAAAGAGGGGGTAAATAGATATTTGTATTCTCCTCGGATATAACAGCTCAAAAGTAGACCCCCAATTATTTTATACATTTTGAATAGTAACGTATATTTTAAACTTAACCGCCAAATTAAAACTTTGGTCACACTAAAATATCAATAATGGACTAGAAATGACTACTATCGGCATTTGTTGCACCACTAGCGCTCAGCTGTTGCGCGCGTGCTCTCTCTTCTTTCTCTTTGTATTTTCTCTTTTTACCGATACTTGTTGTTTTCCTTTCCTTCCTTTCACACAAAAACGCACTCATAACCGGTAAGAGTAATTCCCGATTATAAACACTCTCTTCCGATTCCAGCCGTTGCTTTTCAAAATTCAACAAAAGTGGTTTGTTTGTTGACAGGCGGCTCATTTTCGACTCAAAATCCCAACGCGACGGTACGCGATCCCAAACACTAGTGCTCGTCGTCGCCCGATCGTCGCTTGAATTTCTGAATCCGAGCCCGTTTGAAACTCGAACAAAAAAACCCAACACCCAGCTGAAAATACTTCAAGTTTTCACAATATTTCGGAAAAGTGTCGCCGTGAGAAAAAATTGCAAGTTCTAAATTCTAAGCGCAAGACAATCGATCGAGAGAAATCGATTCCAAGCGGGTGGCTCCATCCTCAATGTCTGTGTGCGTCCCCGGAAAGATAATCGCCATAAACCAGTAACACTTGTCCTGGGAGATCTGCATCGGTCCTAAGGTAAGTGCCGGAATCTTCAGGGGATTTAGTTTTCGAATTACGGGGGCGGAAGCCTCCCCAGATTGTGAGTGCTCACCTGTGAAGGCCCCTTGCTTTTTGTTGACTTGCACTTTTTCCCAATGCGCCTGACATTGGCGAATTCTTGCCCACGAAAATCGGTTACCTACATAAGTATGTGAGTGGTGCAACCCAGAAATCGATTAGCGAAGGCGGAAGTGATAATACCCTATGTAGGGGGTAGTATGTTTTTGGAAATATAGTTGGTATTTAGTGAAAGAAAGTATTGGAATATACTCTTTGAGGATTACCTTTTATAAGAAAGATCTGGAAACAATATTGGAATAAATATTCCCTCCTTTAAGATTGTCTTTTATAAGAAAAATCAACATACCCGTTAAAATATTTTGCAATATTTCAAAATCATTATAGTAAACTATTACTATGGATCGTTTTTACTTAAATACCTTTTATACTTTGCTTAAAAATATGACTTGTATTTTAGGGGTATGCCACGAACCTAATCTTAGTTTATTTATATATGTACTACCCTGCCCTATACAATATTATTATTGTTCTGAGGGAAAAGAAGGTTCGAGGGCAAACGTGACTGTGAATCAAACAGAAAAGAGAGCGCAGTCGCAACAGCAAATGTCACCACCGATTCCTACGATTCCCACAGCTGTCCTCCTACCACACTCACTTCCCCATCCACATCCCGCACCCACAACCATTCGATTCCATGTGTACAATACATATAAACCCTGGAAAACAGAGTGAAATAATTCTATTTATAGGCAGAGCCAGGCAAAATGCTGCCCCATGTCAACGTCGCCTTCGCCTTTACAGTTGTTGTTTTTGTTTTTAAAGCAAACTCAAAGATAGATTTGTGTCTCGACCATTTTAATTGAGTGCGGAAATGAGCAAACATTTCTTGGAGCCCCCGTCCCAGGGACACAAGTGTCTCCAGTTCTCCCCGATCGTCAGGCTGTTTCTTGAT